ACACTTAAACAGAAGCTTGTTTGTGATCATAAGATAGTATTCAAAAGTAAATTTTGTTAAAAAAAAATTCTGTTTATCCGTATTTTACTTATAAATGGACTTAGTTTTTCTGCCAGTTAACATTACATTCACTCTGTGGTTAAAGCTTTCAAAATTTTAATAACTTTCTTAAACTATCCTGGATTTGTCCAAACTTGGACAGAAGCTTGTTTATGATCAAAAACTAGTATCTAGAAGGAATTTTTGTAAAAATTTATTTCCTGTTTTTCCGTATATTACTTATAAATGGACTTAGTTTTATTCCAGTTAACATTACGTACAGTCTGCAGTTTTTATACGACCGCAAAAAGATTTTGTGGTCGTATATTGGTATGACGTTGGCGTCGTCGTCCGGCGTCGTCGTCCGAAGACACATTGGTTTTCGCACTCTAACTTTAGTTTAAGTAAATGGATCTTTTTGAAATTTGACCATAAGGTTAAATACCACAAAAGGAGGGTTGGGATTGATTTTGGGGGTTATGGTACCAACAGTTGAGGAATTAGGGGCCAAAAAGGGGCCAAAAATAAGCATTTTCTAGTTTCCAGACAATAACTGTGGAACGGTGTATGGATCTCTCTGAAATTATACTACAAGTTTCCATACCACAAAGGGATGGTTAGGATTTGTTTTGGGGGGTTATGGCTCAAACCGTTTAGGAATTAGGGGCAAAAAAGGGGGAAAAACAAGGTTGTCCTGGTTAATGGATAAATACTTTAGTACAAAACATAATTTAAAGCAGTGTAAGGGAGATAAATCAAATAAATCATTGAAATTATCTCCCTTACACTGCTTTTAAATTATGTATAAAGTAATGGTTAATGAACATTAAAGATAATTTAAAACAGTGTAAGGGAGGTAATCCAAATACAACGTTTTGGTTACTTCCCTTACACTGCTTTTAAATTATGTTTAAAGAAATGCATATTTATAAAGGAAGACCAGTAAAAATATCTGCAAATGTTGCATCTTTTTTTTTTACAAAAAAATCCATATGAAAGATTTGACACTATATTTTTAATTCTATTATAAAATAGATTAAGTTAGCACTATGGTAAATTTAAATGGGTAATTATGGTTGCCAACTCCATTGGAAATTTGAATTGAGATTATGACCATATCTTGAGGGAAAGAATTTTTTGGGGGAAAAAAAGGGGGGGGGGGGGATAAAAAGAAATCGTGGGGGGTCAATTTTTTCTCATTTCAGATTTCAGAAATTAAAAAAATTATCCTCAAATATTATTTTTTTTTCAAATTTCAAATATTGAAAAATTTCAAGAAGATATCTTTAATTGCACAGTATGGCGCATTAGATTTGTAAAATCTTTGATCACATTTATTTATTTGTTATGCCGAATCCAACAGTGTATTTAGATTTTTAATTTTGGGTCCAGTTTTCAAATTGGTCTACATTAAGGTCCAAAGGGTCCAAAATTAAACTTTGTTTGATTTTAGCAAAAATTGAATATATGAGGTTCTTTGATATGCTGAATCTAAACATGTATTTAGATTTTTGATTTTTTGCCCAGTTTTCAAGTTGGTCCAAATTGGGGTCCAAAATTAAACTTTGTTTGATTTCAACAAAAATTGAATATATGGGGTTCCTTGATATGCTGAATCTAACCATGTATTTAGATTTTTTATTTGTGGACCCCGTTATCAAATTTGTTCATATTGAGGTCAAAAGGGTCCAAAATTAAACTTTGTTTGATTTCATCTTAAATTGAATTATTGGGGTTCTTTGATATTCCAAATCTAACCGTGTATTTAGATTTTTAATTTTGGGTCCTGTTTTTTTTAAATTGGTCTACATTAAGGTCCAAAGGGTCCAAAATTAAACTTAGTTTGATTTTAACAAAAATTGAATTCTTGGGGTTCTTTGATATGCTGAATCTAAACATGTGTTTAGATTTTTGATTATGGGCCCAGTTTTCAAGTTGGTCCAAGATAGGGTCCAGTATTTAAACTTTGTTTGATTTCAACAAAAAATGAATATATGAGGTTCTTTGATATGCTGAATCTAACCATGTATTTAGATTTTTGTCGAGCCTGCGACTTTTGTCGCAGAAAGCTCGACATAGGGATAGCGATCCGGTGGCGGCGGCGGCGGCGGCGGCGGCGGCGTTAGCTAACTTCTTAAAAGCTTTATATTTTAGAAGATGGAAGACCTGGATGCTTCATACTTTGTATATGGATGCCTCATGTTACGAAGTTTCCGTCAGTCACATGTCCAATGTCCTTGACCTCATTTTCATGGTTCAGTGACTACTTGAAAAAAAAGTTCAGATTTTTTGTAATGTTAAATTCTCTCTTATTATAAGTAATAGGATAACTATATTTGGTATGTGCGTACCTTGCAAGGTCCTCATGCCCGTCAGACAGTTTTCACTTCACCTCGACCTCATTTCATGGATCAGTGAACAAGGTTAAGTTTTGGTGGTCAAGTCCATATCTCAGATACTATAAGCAATAGGTCTAGTATATTCGGTGTATGGAAGGACTGTAAGGTGTACATGTCCAACTGGCAGGTGTCATCTGACCTTGACCTCATTTTCATGGTTCAGTGGTTATAGTTAAGTTTTTGTGTTTTGGTCTGTTTTTCTTATACTGTATGCAATAGGTCTACTATATTTGGTGTATGGAATGATTGTAAGGTGTACATGTCTAGCTGGCAGGTGTCATCTGACCTTGACCTCATTTTCATGGTTCAGTGGTCAAAGTTAAGTTTTTGAGTTTTGGTCTTTCTTTCTAATACTGCATTCAATAGGTCAGCTATATTTGGTGTATGGAATGATTGTAAGGTGTACATGTCTAGCTGGCAGGTGTCATCTTACCTTGACCTCATTTTCATGGTTCAGTGGTCAAAGTTAAGTTTTTGAGTTTTGGTCTTTTTTTCTAATACTATATGCAATAGTTCAACTATATTTGGTGTATGGAAATATTTTATGATCTATATGTCAGTTACGCAGGTTTTATTTGACCTTGACCTCATTTTCAAGGTTCATTGCTCAGTGTTAAGTTTTTGTGTTTTCGTCTGTTTTTCTTAAACTATAAGCAATAGGTCAACTATATTTGTTGTATGGAAGAATTGTTAGCTGTACATGCCTGCCTAGCATGGTTCATCTGACCTTGACCTCATTTTCATGGTTCATTGGTCAATGTTTAGTTTACTTGGTTAATGTTAAGTTTATGTGACAGTTGTAATAAAGCTTTATATTTAGGACTATCAACATAATATCAATGATTAGTAAAGAAGGCGAGACATTTCAGCGTGTGCACTCTTGTTTATTTGTAGGCCCCGCTATCAAATTGGTTCATATTGAGGTCAAAAGGGTCCAAAATTAAACCTTGTTTGATTTTAACAAAAAATGAATTCTTAGGGTTCTTTGATATGCTGAATCTAACCGTGTTTTTAGATTTTTAATTTAGGTCCGGTTTTTTAAATTGGTCTTCATTGAGGTCCAAAGGGTCCAAAATTAAACTTAGTTTGATTTTAACAAAAATTGAATTCTTGGGGTTCTTTGATATGCCAAATCTAACCGTGTTTTTAGATTTTTAATTTGGGTCCCGTTTTTTAAATTGGTCTTCATTGAGGTCCAAAGGGTCCAAAATTAAACTTAGTTTGATTTTAACAAAAATTGAATTCTTGGGGTTCTTTGATATGCTGAATCTAAACATGTGTTTAGATTTTTGATTATGGGCCCAGTTTTCAAGTTGGTCCAAGTTGGGGTCCAAAATTAAACTTTTTTTGATTTCAACAAAAATTGAATTCTTGGGGTTCTTTGATATGCTGAATCTAAACATGTGTTTAGATTTTTGATTATGGGCCTAGTTTTCAAGTTGGTCCAAGTTGGGGTCCAAAATTAAACTTTTTTGATTTCAACAAAAATTGAATATATGGGGTTCTTTGATATGCTGAATCTAACCATGAATTTAGATTTTTTATTTGTGGGCCCTGCTATCAAATTGGTTCATATTGAGGTCAAAAGGGTCCAAAATTAAACTTTGTTTGATTTCATCAAAAATTGAAATATTGGGGTTCTTTGATATTCCAAATCTAACCGTGTATTTAGATTTTTAATTTTAAGTCCCGTTTTTTAAATTGGTCTACATTAAGGTCCAAAGGGTCCAAAATTAAATTTAGTTTGATTTTAGCAAAAATTGAATTCTTGGGGTTATTTGATATGCTGAATCTAAACATGTGTTTAGATTTTTGATTATGGACCCAGTTTTCAAGTTTGTCCAAGTTGGGGTCCAAAATTAAACTTTGTTTGATTTTAACAAAAATTGAATATATGGGGTTCTTTGATATGCTGAATCTAACCATGTATTTTGATTTTGGACATTGGACCATAATAGGTAAATTAAAAAAATTCAAGTTCTTAGACCACATTCTTTCTGTGTCAGAAACCTATGCTGTGTTAAATATTTAATAACAATCCAAATTCAGAGCTGTATCAAGCTTGAATGTTGTGTCCATACTTACCCCAACTGTTCAGGGTTCGACCTCTGTGGTCGTATCAAGCTGTGCCCCAGCGAAGCATTTTATTAAAACATTTATTAGATTCATAAACCTTCTTGGATTTTTACCAAACTTGAACAGAACTTCTTACAATCAAAAGATAGTATCTAGAGGAAAATTCTAAATAATTTTTCCCCATTTTTGTTGAGCCTGTGACTAACAGCAAAAGTAGGCGAGACACTGGGTTCCGCGGAACCCTTACGAATTTTAATTTATATTGGAATTGTGTTCTAATATATATGATCATTGTTTTACTTGTGATGTTAGTTATGAAATTTATTTTGTGACTTGTGATAAAGGATATAATCTTATACTAGTTCTAACAAGGAGAACACTTGCAAGCATGCATATTGCTTTGTATAAGGAAAATACTTTTTTCCAGTGCTTTTCACACTTTGATTGAGCAAATAATTACTGGAAATGTTTTATTTTATATTATAGGAGCAGGGAGTTGTTTGGAAAGTTTAACTGCTAATAAACCATTACTAGTGGTAGTTAATAATGAACTAATGGACAATCATCAGTTAGAGTTAGCTAGACAACTGAAGAAAGATGGCAATATAGAGTATTGTGATTGTAGGTAAGGGAACATTTCTATTGGTTTAGAAATAAAAGGTTAATGATTGGTTTGGTCATTTGTTTTGAAAAATAGATAGATTTTTAGTGATGAGATATGATCAATATGATTTAGACATCTATGAAAAAATAAGTGTTGGATAATAAGCTAAGTTACTTATACAAGTTTCCTTTTTTATGGCTAAATGAAGCAATTTTGAGTTTGTCTCAGCAACTATCAGAGTAACTCTGAGTTCTATTTGTGCATCCATGTCTGCATGCAAAGCAGCAGCCAGTTTGAAGAAAATAACAGACATAAATCTTAATGCTAGTAGTTGAATTACAGCTCACATAGATTTTGTCATTTCTCACTTGTCCACTTAGATTGGTTCCCTGAGTCTTCAATTTTTGATTGGACTGCCATATTTTTTCTTTAATTATAAGAAGTTATGAACATACAATATAATTGAAATATAAGATAAGCTATTGTAGAAGTATATATATATACAAAATCTGATGTAAAGTTTGACATATAAGTGGGCTTTACATGGTGGGCAGCTGGAGAAAGTAAAATCTATGTCAGCAGCAGGTAATTAAGAAGCACAGGTGCATCTTTGATATTATAGCATTACGACATCAACAATCATATATTAAGGTGTAAGGATACAACTTGGTCCGAGTGTTTCAGTCAATGTAAAAAAAAGGTGGAAAAAGACACCAAGGGGCAATAAAAAACCACAAGTTGAAGCAAAACGGTTTGTAAAATTGAGGTCACTCTAACCTACTAAATAGTCTGTTTCTATGTATGTTGGCGTTTGTTTTTGTAGCAGTTCAGTGTTTCTGTTGTTCCGTTGTTTTCCTCTAATAGTTGATGTGTTTCCCTCGGTTTTGGTTTGTGACCCGGATTTGTTTCAGTTAAAACGATTTATGACTATTGAACAGCGGTATACTACTGTTGCCTTTATCTACATCCATATTAGAGGGTCTGGATGGGGTGTGTCCTTCATTTCTGTATTCGATAATTCTTTAGGCCATTTTTCTCTATTCTTTGTACTTTTTGCCCATTATTCTCTATTCTTTATATTTTAGCACCTCAGTTTTCTCTGTTCTTTATTTCTTTATACTTTTTTCTCTATTCTTTATTCTTTTTTACCCATTATTCTCTATTCTTTAAACCCCAATCCACACCCTCATATTATCCAGTAAGGCAATTGTCTTTGTCTTTTACAACAATGAAAATATGAAGTATATATCAATATTTTAATAATATAAAAATAAGGAAATGTGTGATATGCTTGCCGATGGACAGGCACATACAGAATGTGTTTAAAAAAAACATGTTGATAAAATTGTTTTTTTTGGGGGGATTAGTAATTAAAAAAAAGAGGTGGAAGTTAACTTATTTTTGTAGAATACTTGTCACCACATTAGAGACACAAAATTTATATTTATGCAAACTGTTTTTAAAAATGATATATATGTGAATTTGAAGTTTTTTTAGTTTTTGTAATCTTTCTGTTTTAGTTCACTAGAAGAAACATTGAAGACCTGTGATTTTAGCAAATTAAAGCCGTACACTCCAGGAAAACCACAATTGTTTGCAGATTTTTTAGACAACTTAATCGGGTATACCAAACAGTCATGAGGGCAACGTAATGGGGTATATACCAAACAGTCATGATGACAATGGGGCTGATTACCTCCAAATACAAAAGTGGAAGATTGAATCACGTGGAGAAGGGCCATTTGTAATCACCACCATGCTTATGATATCGACAATAAATTAGCTGTTTATTGGAATTTCTTTCTTCGTTTTTTTAACTTCATACTACCATTACACAGAACTTGAACTATTAGAGGGTTGTGATACTACCATTATGCAGAAATCAATGAGGAAATAAAATGAATATAATAACTGACATGTAAGGCCAAGTTAAAATTGGCCAGAATCTCAAAACTCAGCAATTGTAATATGCATGTAAAATTAAAGCTTTTGTTTCGTTTAAATTTTAAAGTTTGTGATAAGGTCAGTTTGATGAACCATTAATGGTTGGTCAATACTATTTGGTTTGCAGTTGTATCAGCATAAGAATATCTCATATCCATGGACATTATGAATGTTATATGGCTGTACCCCCTCAGTCACAGTCTGTAGACTTCTTATGCTTAGTTTAAATATTAAAGTTTGTGATTAGATCAATTTGAGCGAAACACTAATTGTAAGTCAATGATATTTGGTATGCAGTTGTATCAGCATTATCACATCTCATATCATATATATTATATTATGTGGATATTATAGTGCCCCAACCCTCAGTTGATTGACTGCCATTTTTGTATAGTTAACATGTTTAGGTTTGTGCTTAGATCAGTTTAAGGGGAACCATTTATGATAAGTCGATGGCATTTGATATGCAGTTGTATTAGAATTGCCTTTAGTATATCTTATTTCCATGAAAAGATCATTTGGCCCGGAACTTTCAGTCATGGATCATTGACTGTAGATGTTCAGCATAGTTTACATCTTACAGTATTGCCATTTAAATATCAACTTTTGAATTTTACCGTCAAAATTACATTCAGACAAGACATATCTCTGTGACAACAGTCCATTTCATAAATAAGTGTAAAATTACAGTCATGAACTTTATACTTTGGTCCTTGGACTTATATAAAACCTTTGTAAATTGACCTTTTAAAGGTTATATAGTATTTATGGGTTAAACTCTGACCCCCAAAGTACAATAATAGAGCAGATTTTACCACAATCATATGAAATTTGAAATAATTTTAATTTGGTGAAAAATGTACACAAAACGGATGGAAATTTAACAGTTCCAGAACTATGGTCCTTGATTGATGGGAAAATTCAAAATGATAATAATTTAACAAAACCTTTAACTCCTAGTTAAATTGAACTTGAATATTGTTTCCCCATAGTTACCCCAGCAGTTACCCTTATCAATATATATTACAGATTAATAAAAGTATCTACTATGAACCTATGATCAATATTGATTTTCACAATTATATGTTACATGAGCAACACGACAAGTGCCACATGTGGAGCAGGATCTGCTTACCCTTCCAGAGCACCTGATATAATCCCTGGTTTTTGGTGGTGTTTATTGCCTAATATTTATTTTTCTATGTTGTGTTTTGCATACTGTTGTTTGTCTGTTGGTCTTTTTCTTTGTTGTGACTTGGTGTTGTCAGTCAACTTATGAGTTAAAATGTCCTTTGGGTATCTTCCGCCTTTCTTTTAATAGAATGTAATTATGCTCTTTCAATTTTCTCAATGGTAAATTGATAGTTGACAGAAAGTAAAGTTTGGAGGGTAATTAGAAATCCCCATGTCTGTCTGACCTTGACCTCATTTGATGGATCAGTGGTCAAGGTTAGTTATTTTAATAGGTCCATTTCTCATCTTCTATAAGCAGTAGATCAACTATATGTGATGTATGGAAAGATTGTAAGGTATAAGTCTTGCAGGTTTCATATGACCTTGACCTCATTCTCATGGTTCATTGGATAATGTGAAGTGTTGGTGTGTTGTTTTTTTTTTTTCTTCAAATACTATAAGAAATAGGTCAACTGTATTTGGTGTATGGAATGAAATTAAGGTGTACATATCTGTCTGGCAGGCATCACCTGTCCTTGACCTCATTTTTATGGTTCATTGGTCAATGTTAAGTCTCAGTGGTTTGGTCCTCTTCTCAGATACTATACTATAAATTTAGTGTATGGAATGGTTGAAAGGTTTTTGGTGTATGGAATGATTGAAAGGTGTACATGTCTGTTTGGCAGTTTTTATCTTACCATGACCTTATTTTCATGGTTCATTGGTCAAATGTTAAGTTTTCTTTGTTAAAGTCTGTTTCTTGGATACTATAAGCAACAGGTCAACTATATTTGGTACATGGAATGATTGTAAGGTGTATGTCTGTCTGGCATGTATCATCTGACCTTGACCTCATTTTCATGGTTCATGGGTCAAGTTAAGTTTTCATGGTTTGTTCAGTTTCTTATACACTTTAAACTGTAGGTTAAGTATATTTGGTGTATGGAATGATTGCAAGGTGAACATGTCTGCGGAGCTTGGTTCATTTGACCTTGACCTCATTTTCATGGATCATTGATGATGTTAAGTTTATGTGATACTTGTAGTTTAACTTTTTTTTAGCTTGATTGGTTCAAAGGGCAATGTGAGCTTTTGCCATCACTTTGCATCTGTGGTCATCGTTCGTCGTCGTCATCGTAAACTTTTTCAAAGATCTTTTCCTCATAATCTTGTGAACCTATTTCAACCTAACTTATGGTGAATGCATGATGCTTATCATGTATAAAGATTGTGTTTTTTTATTCTGGTCAGTCAAAAAACATGTCCATCATAGCTTGAAATAGAACACATGAATAAAATGCAGTATTTGGCTGATATCTCAATAACGAAAACAGTGAGAGAAAAACTGATGGCATTCAAAATTATTACTATGTCAATTGCTATAAGTCGGGAAATTCTTAAACAAATTGGACAATCAATATTTGGAGTTATTGACCCTGAAATTATATTTTGTATGAAATTTCTGTTTTTGGTTGTCATTTTGAAAACTATTACACAACGAGTGCAACAGGTGATGCTGGATCTGCTTGCCCTTCCGAAGCACCTGAGATCATCCCCATCCCCAGGCTGGGTTCGTGTTTCTCAGTCTAGTTTGCTGTGTTGAGTTTTGTGTACTGAAATTTGTCTGTTGGTCTTTTTCTTTTTAAGCCATCGGTTTATTTATTCGACTTATGAGTTTGAATGTCCCTTTGGTATCCTTTGCCTCTCTTTTTACAGATATAGAGAACTTTTAAACAGGAAAAAATTTCAACAAAGAAGATCTATCTATAACTATAAGAAAGGAATTCGGTAATTGTTCCCTTATAGGAGTTATCGCCCTTGAAATTCTATTTTCATTCAACTTTTAAGCTTTTTTCAGAAACTATGATAGATAGACAGAAACTTTGTACATCAAAAGTGTTCAACAAAGTAAGACCTACAAATAAGTCAAGATGACTGAAATTATCAATTGATCCCTGATAGGAGTGACTGCCCTTGAAAGATCATTTTTACCATTGTTTTTTACTTTTTGGAAGAAACTATGATAGATAGAGAAAATCTTTAAACAGCAAAAGCTTTTAAGCAAAGTAAGACCTGCAAATAAATCAAACATGATCGAAAAGGTCAATGACTTCCTTTCAAGAGTTGTAGACCTTGAAAGCTAATTTTTTGCCTTTTTTGTTTGTTTAGTTTTCCACAGAAACTATGATAGATAGTGAGAATCTTTTAAAGGCATGTTTAAAAACGCATTAATATACATTAAACGGCAAAGTAATCATTGGTTCAAGATCTACACCAAAAAATTCCAGGTGAGAAATTCAGGCTCTTATTAGGAGCCTCTTGTTAAGACATATATCAATCATGGTCAGTAAAACAGGCAAGACTTTTTAGCGTGTGCACTCTTGCCTAAATGATAAAACAGACACAACAATAAATGTCATAATACTAGTATGTGGCATGTACGGTTTATTATATATAATAGACTTTATTATCGGTTAAGTCTCGTCTTCCAACAGCGGGTATTTCTTCTGAAAAAGTATTCATTACAGAGCGAATCCAGCCGAGGTAGGACTGAACACGTGTATAAACTCCTGGCTGGTATGCTGCTGCGCATGTGTATCCCCATGACGTAATACCAACCAAACTCCACACTCCATTCTTTTTACACACCATAGGTCCTCCAGAATCGCCCTGTTATAAAACAAAACCAGAGTGACATGTCATAATTGTATTTTATTTTAAAATTGAATGCTTCTTTTAATTATTTTATATATGATGGTGTACAAGCGTTGACCAAAGCACATTTTGTCTAACGGAAATGGAAATAATTTTTTAGTTTTGGATGCCTCGTCCAATCAAAATTACGACAACTTGAAACTTCCATGTAATGTAATTACAAAACAATAACTGCAGTAGTAACTTCGATAATTTGCACAATAAAACAGGTAAACAGGCGCAGATTTTGATACGATTTTTTAATTTCACAAGATGGTATGTTGAATCTAAATTGAAAAAAGAAATGTGTCATCTAAAACTTTAATTAGTGTACGTCTGAACATAAACCACACGTGTCAACAAAAACTTTTCTGAGTGAAGGTCTGAACATAAGACACATATGTCTTCTAAAACTTGAACTAGTGTATGTCTGAACATAAGACACATGTGTCATCTACTGTAAACATATTTTATTAAAGAAATCGATATAATATATAGCTACAAGGGTAAAGACATAAATACGTAATATACAAGAGATTCAATAATTGGGATTAGGAAACAAGAGCAGTGCTCTTATATAAATCCGTCTCCCTGTGTCATCTAAAACTTGAACTAGTGTATGTCTGGACATAAGACACATGTGTCATCTAAAACTTGAACTAGTGTATGTCTGGACATAAACCACATGTGTCATCTATAAAACTTGAATGGTTGTACGTCTGAACATAAACCAAATGTGTCATCTATAAAACTTGAATGGTGGTACGTCTGAACATAAACCGCATGTGTCATCTACAAAACTTGAATGGTGGTACGTCTGAACATAAACCACATGTGTCATCAACAAAACTTGAATGGTGGTATGTCTGAACATAAACCACACGTGTCATCTACAAAACTTGAATGGTGGTACGTCTGAACATAAACCACATGTGTCATCAACAAAACTAGAATGGTGGTACGTCTGAACATAAACCACATGTGTCATCTACAAAACTTGAACGGTTGTACGTCTGAACATGAACCACATGTGTCATCTACAAAACTTGAATGGTGGTACGTCTGAACATAAACCACATGTGTCATCTACAAAACTTGAATGGTTGTACGTCTGAACATAAACCATTTGTGTTATCTTATTATTTAATGAGTGTACGTCTAAAAAAAATCAGATGTGTCATCTAAAACTTTAAAGAGTGTACATCTGAACAAAAACCACATATGTCATCAAAAACTTTAAAGACTGTACGTCTGAACAAAAACCACATGTGTCATCTAAAACTTTAAAGACTGTACATCTGAAAAAAACCACATGTGTCATCTAAAACTTTAAAGACTGTACATCTGAACAAAAACCACATGTGTCATCTAAAACTTTAAAGACTGTACATCTGAACAAAAACCACATGTGTCATATAAAACTTTAAAGACTGTACATCTGAACAAAAACCACATATTATGTCATCTAAAACTTTAAAGACTGTACATCTGAACAAAAACCACATGTGTCATCTAAAACTTTAAAGACTGTACATCTGAACAAAAACCACATATTATGTCATCTAAAACTTTAAAGACTGTACATCTGAACAAAAACCACATGTGTCATCTAAAACTTTCATAAGTGTATGTCTGAACATAAACCACATTTTCTAGACAGAGATTACTCTATCTATATATTACATTATGCATATTTGTTAACAGGTTAACTCCTAACTATCCTAACTTTTATTTTGGCATTGCACAAGTCATGTCTTCTTTGATTGTCCATGACGTTAAAACACTAAATCCCTGGAATGTGTTTTAGTTGATTTTAGTCTTTGACGCATGATTTTTTATTATTAATTGTTTTGGCTTTTAACTAGCTTTCAGTAACTGCGAGTACTCTAAAATCGTACTTTCGTGTTAATTTGTTAAATTGTTTAGTTATTCGTTCAGTGTATGTTCACTTGTTTTTGTTATTATGTCTTTTGATTGAGTTACGCCATTTCAATTGATATTTCATAGTGTGTCTTTCTATGTTGCGATGTTACACTATTGTTTTCGGTAGGGTGAAGGTTGGCGCCTTTTAAAACGTTTAAACCCGCTGCATTTGTTTGCACCTGTCCTAAGTCAGGAACCTGATGTTCAGTGGTTGTCATTTTTTGGGGCCCTTTATAGCTTGCTGTTCGGTGTGAGCCAATTAAGGCTCCGTGTTGAAGGCCGTACATTGGCCTATAATGGTTTACTTTTAAAAATTGTGACTTGGATGGAGAGTTGTCTCATTGGCACTCATACCACATCTTCTTATATCTATAAACCACATTTGTCTTTTAATGAATGTACGTTTGATCAAAAAGCACATGTGTCATCTACAGAGTTACGTTTAAACATAAATCACATGAGTCATCTTTTATGCGTGTACGTCTGAAAATAAACCACATGTGTCATCTAAAACTCTAATGAGTATACGTCTGAACAAAAAGACATGTGTTATCTGGAACTTTCATGAGTGTACGTCTGAACATAAACCACATGCGTCATCTAAAACTTTAATGGGTGTAGGTCTGATCATAATTAAGACACATGTTTCATCTAAAACTTGAATGAGTGTACGTCTGAACATAAACCACATGTGTCATCTAAATTTTAATGAGTGTACGTCTGAACATAGACCACATGTGTCATCTAATCTTTAATGAGTATACGTTTGAACATTACCATATGTGTCATCTAAAATTTAATGAATACACGTCTGAACACAAACCACATGCGTCATCTAAAACTAATTGAGTGTACGTCTGAATATATAGAATATATGTCATCGTAAACTCAAATGAGTGAATATCTGAACATAAACCACACTAGTCATCTAATATTTTAATGAGTGAACGTTTGAAGATAAACCACATGCGTCATCTTTAACTTCAATGAGTGTACCTTTGAACAAAAACACATGTGTCATCTAAAACTTGAATGAGTGATTATATGAACATAAATCATATGTGTCATCTAAACTTAAATGAGTGTACGTCTGAACATAAACTACATGTGTCATCTAATCTTTAATGAGTGTACGCCTGAACAAAAACCACATGTGCCATCTAAAATTTTAATGAGTGCATGTCTGAACATAAAGCACATGTGTCATCTAAAACTTTAATGAGTGTACGTCTTAACATAAACCACATGTGTCATTTACAATTAAAATGAGTGTAAATCTGAGTATATACCACATGTGTCATCTAAAACTTTAATGAATGCACATCTGAACACAAACCACATGCGTCATCTAAAACATGAATGAGTGTACGTCTGAACATAAAGATTATTTGTCATCTTGAACTCAAATGAGTGAACGTCTGAACATAAACCACATGTGCCATCTTAAACTTGAATGAGTGTACGTCTGAACAAAAACCACATGTGTCATCTAAAACTTGAAAGAGTGTGCGGCTGAACAAAAACCACATGTACCATCATAAACTTGAATGAATGTACCTCTTAACATAAACCATGAGTGGCATCTTAAACTTTAATGAGTGTTAGTCTGATCAAAAGCCAGATGTGCCATTTAAAACTCTAACGAGTGTACGTCTGAACATACACCAACCTAACAAATAATGTAAATACATTTAATTCTTTTTTTTTAAATATCTTGAAGTTATGTTGTTCATGTGGTCCGACGTTTATAGCATGCATGTACAATAGTCGAAAATATGTGGACTGGAGTTTTAGGATTTATATTAATAAACCGTTGTCCCAAATGTTACGTATATTCTTACATACATGCACTCTGAAACTTTTGAGAGAAAAAAAAACAAAACATGCATATGACACATGAAAAACACCCAGTTCTGCTTAACAAAATAATATCTAAATAAAATCAAGACCTTCTGTCCATGTCTCGTTCAAAGGGAGATGCCAATGCTCCATTCAATCTTAAATTCTGTATTAATGACCTTTATGTCAAATATTGCAATTGTGGGCCTTCAAATTTATTATTTACGAAAGCATGTGTCAGAACGACAAATGCCAATGATATGGAAAAATTCATTCATTTTAATAACATTCAGCAAATTGCTGATTTAAAAAAAAAAGCTTCGACATTGAACACTAATCCTGAGTAAATTGCTGATCTAAAACATCTTAACTGTTAATGTACCAGATTATTTCAACTTTTGAATATAACATCTTTAACTCTTTACGTTATATCTTTTATTTACCTGACAGGAATCTACACCGCCATGCTTTCTTCCTGCACAGACCTCTGTACCTGGTATCTGTCGATCCATTAAATAAGAACACACTTCATTGGACAATAATGGAACGTCTGCTTTGTATAAACCATGTGTACCATGACCACCTGAAAGGACAAATCTTATAGGACAATATTGGAACGTCTGCTTTATATAAGCCATGTGTAGCATGACCACCTTAAATGACAAATTCTATTGGACAATAAAACGTCAGCTTTATACAAACCATGTGTATCATGACCACCTAAAAGGACAAATCTTATAGGACAATATTGGAACGTCTGCTTTATATAAGCCATGTGTAGCATGACCACCTTAAATGACAAATCCTATTGGACAATAAAACGTCAGCTTTATACAAACCATGTGTATTATGACCATCTAAACGGACAAATTAAAACAACTAGATATCATTGAGATGGGAGCCATCTCTGTGGGCCCCGCTGTGAATATGTGTGGTAAAAAATTTGTATCTTTATCATTGGACATGGGGTTGTCAACTGAAACCGAATTTTATGACCTTGACCTTTGACCTAGGAAGTTGTACATACATTATGACACACCCTCTGGTGTTGGTTTATATACATGTCAAGTATAAACTTTGAAATCATAACGGTTCTCAAGATATCGAGTGGACACGATCTTTACATAGGACATGGGGTTGTCAATTAAAACCAAAGTTTTTGACCTTGACCTTTGACCTAGGAAGTTGTACACGTGTATACATTATGACACACCCTCTGGTGTTGGTTAATATACATGTCAAGTATACACTTTGAAATCATAACGGTTCTCTAGATATAGAGCGGACACAATTTGTTAAGGACGGACGAACGGACAGACGGACGGACTGACGGACGGACAGACTGATCACTATAGTGGTAAAAAAATTGTATCTTTATCATTGGACATGGGGTTGTCAACTGAAACCGAAGTTTATGACCTTGACCTTTGACCTACGAAGTTGTACATACATTATGACACACCCTCTGGTGTTGGTTAATATACATGTCAAGTATAAACTTTGAAATCATAACGGTTCTCAAGATATAGAGCGGACACAATTTGTTAAGGACGGACGGACGGACAGACTGATCACTATAGGGTTTCCGTCATTCGGCGGGGCCCTAATTAAAATAACGGTACGCCATTGGTTATATTTTCATTGTTCGTACCCGTATAAAAATAACGGTACGCCATTGGTTATAATTTCATTGTTCGTACCCGTATAAAAATAACGGTACGCCATTGGTTATAATTTCATTGTTCGTACCCGTATAAAAATAAAGGTACGCCATTGGTTTATATTTTCATTGTTTGTTCCCGTATAAAAATAACGGTACGCCATTGGTTATATTTTCATTGTTTATGAAGTTTTTAATCAATCAAAACGTTTTGGTTTACTTAATGATTAGTCTTACCGTTGTGATTTGCTCCCCATCCGGTGATTGTACATATCATATCCTCAAAACTTGTGGTGTTAGCTGGGAGACAAGCAGGACGCACATATTTGTTATATGCAGGGACAGCGTGACCTAGTTTTAATAATGCGATGTCATCTTTAAAACTTTGCATATCAAATCCACTGTGGATAAATAAAGTATCCACTTTCTCTAGGATTTCTGTTCCTTCAATGTATGCTCTGTCGTGTTCACCAACAACAACGGTGAAGGCATACGGATTTTTGTTTCTGTGAAAGGAACACAATATACAATCAGTGCTCAGTATAACTTTGAACCAGTAGAAAAGATCAAGTTTAATCCAACAGAAATGTCTTTCATTATGTGAATCTTTGCATCACTATAACAATTATAGCTATTACAGCCATATTTTCCGAAACCTCTGCAGGAAGGAATTTTTGTAAACAGGCAATTTGATTTTTGTTCAAGACATCCGGAATTATTATGATATAAAGTCATTTATTGATCATCGTTGATGATTTGCATGTTACTTGGCAGGAACATATTTGAGACATTGATTATCATTGTTGATTCGCGTCTTACGTGGCAGGAGTGTAATTGTGATATTGACCAGCATTGTTGATTTGCGTCTTACGTGGCAGGAGCTTAATTGACATAGAATATAATTGTTGATTCCCGTCTTGTGTAGCAGGAGCATAATTGTGACATGGATTATCATTGTTGTTTCGCGTGTTACATGGCATGAGTATAATTGTGACATAGATTATCATTGTTGGTTCGCGTCTTACGTGGCAGGAGTATAATTGTGACATTAATTAGCATTGTTGATTCGCGTCTTAGTGACAGGAGTATAATTGTGACATAGATTATCATTGTTGATTCGCGTCTAACATGACAAGAGCATAATATTGACATTAGTTGTCATTGTTGTTTCGTGTGTGTGTTATGTGGCAGAGCTAAATTGTGACATAGATTATCATTGTTGATTCGCGTCTAATGTGACAAGAGCATAATATTGACATTAGTTGTCATTGTTGATTCGTGTGTGTGTGTGTGTGTGTTACATGGCAGGAGCATAATTGTGACATAGATTATCATTGTTGATTCGCGTGTTACGTGGCAGGAGCATAATTGTGACATTGATTATCAATCTTGATTTGTGTACTACATGGCAGGAAGATAATTGTTACATAGATTATCATTGTTGATTCGCGTTTTACGTGGCAGGAGTATAATTGTGACATAGATTATCATTGTTTATTCGCTTTTACGTGGCAGAAGCATAATTGTTAAATAGATCATCATTGTTGATTCGAGTCTTACGTTGCGGGAGCTTAATTTCGACATTGAATAGCATTGTTGATTCGCATGCTACGTGGCAGGAGTATAATTGTGACATAGATTATCATTGTTGATTGTGTTTTACATGACAGGAGTATAATTATGACATCGATATTATCATTGTTGATTCGCGTCGTACGTGGCAGAAGCTTAATTGTAACATTGGTTATCCTTGTTGATTCGCGGGTTTATCCTACTAAACACTAAACTAGTGAATAGATTTCAATTAAACTTTTGCAGATTCGTCGTGACATAATGTCATCGTGCGTAAACGGAGCGGTGGTATAACTTTACAAGCTCTGCTCACAGTACAGTACTATATTAAATGTAAATAAATATATCGTTATCTTACTCCTTAAAACAATGAGCAGCCGTCAGGACCCATTGACTGTCAATTAATGTTCCTCCACAAATATGGTAGTCATTTAAACGTAATGAAACCTGAAAAAATACGTACTTACAATTAAGTGCATGTAGAAACTATATCAGATCCGGTAAAATCGCAAACACACAGTAATGTTTAACAAGATACCAACATTAATTTTAGGCACAAAAAGGGCATTTGGACATTTTATTTCGCTTAATTCATTGTTGTTTGAAGCCATTATTGGAGTCCCCTAAGCAATAGTTAAATAATTAAATACGACACCAAAAACAATTATTTTTAAGATCGTATAATGACACCAAAACAATTATCAATGCTATTATCTAACGACACCACTAATCATCAAGGGAGACGTCTGACGAAACCAAAATCAATTATTAATGAGATCGTCTTACGATATCAAACCAATTATCGATGATATCGTCTAAAGACATCAAACTAATTATCAATGAGATCGTCTAACGACACCTAACTAGTTATGAATGATATTGTCTTTCGAAACTAAACCAATTAATTATCAATGAAATCGTCTAATTAAAGACACCAAATCACTTATCAACGAGATCGTCTAACGACAACAAATTAATCATCAATGATATTGTCTAACGACACCAAACTTATCATCAATGATATCGTCTACGACACCAAACCAATTATCAATGAGATCGTCTAACGACAACAAACCACTTATCAATGATATCGACTAACGACACTAAAATTATCATCAAGAATATCGTCTACGACACCAAACCACTTATCAATGCGATCGTCTCACGACATCAAACCAAATATCAATTATATCGTCTAACGACACCAAACTTATCACCAATGATATGGTCTACGACAACAAACCAATTATCAATGAGATCGTCTAATGACATCAAACTAATTACCAAAGAGATCACTATGAATGATATTGTCTATCGAAACCAAACCAATTATCAATGAGATCGTCTAACGACACCAAATCAATAGATAGTGAGAATGTCTTAAAACAAAAAAACAATTATCAATGAGATCGTCTAACGACACCAAACTGATTATCAATGAGATCGTCTAACGACACCAAACTGATTATCACTGAGATCGTCTAACGACACTAAACCAGTTATCAATGAGATCGCCTAGTTTGATTGCTGTGTTTTACGTTTAGCATTTCATAAGGCAATATGTGTAACGGTATTCGTAATAAAAGAGAGGCGGAAGATACCAAAGGGATATTCAAACTCGTAAGTCGAATACGAACGACCAACGCCATCCAAAAAAGCGACGAGAAGACAAGCAACAGTCTTCAAAAAACAACAAAAATAGCTTGAGACTGAGTAACACGAACCTCACAAAAATCCGAGGTTATCATAAGGTATTCAAAAGGGTAAGCAGATCATTTAAGACGTGTCATTCGTCGCGTTGTTCATGTAGCCAAGTAATCATTCGGAGATCAGTCTGATTCGGTGATGCCACGTTCAAAGAAAAAAGAACGGAATTGTGGTAACGACAAGTTGGAACAATACTATATCTATCGTTATCTGTGAAACATATATCCCATAACGGTCAATCAACTCGTGATAGAATGGGTATTTTTTTAAGGGATGCACTTTACCACTTGGAAAATAGCTTGCTTTATTGCTTCCTTGTAAGCAGCAACCCTCTATAACGAAAATCAAGATAGGAAACGCACGCTTTGGGATATCACATCAACTGGAAGAAATATACTGCCTATGCAGGCGCTGGTGAAATGTTGCTACATAGAAATAAAAAGTTAACAATTGAAATACCGAAATCCTCTCTTTATGAGATACAATGAATAAGCGTTGATTCTTGAAAAAGAAACCATGAGCCCGGAGGGTGTATGGTTTGTTTTTCATGAATCAACGCTTATCCATTGTATCTATAACTTAAACTATTGTGTTGATGTCTTTTCAAAATTGAAGCCTTTTCTTAATTAGAAGGTATGTAAGTGAGTATAAATAACGATGCATTAATATATATCAAAGTTAACAATTGATTGGGTAGAGAATTACAAAAATAACATAACACGTCTATCTTTAAAAGAGGAGACGAAAGATACCAGAGGGACAGTCAAACTCATAGATCGAAAACAAACTGACAACGCCATGGCCAAAAATAAAAAGACAAACAGACAAATAATAGTACAGATGACACAACATAGAAAACTAAAGACTAAGCAACACGAACCCCACCAAAAACTGGGGGTGATCTCAGGTGCTTCGGAAGGATAAGCAGATCCCTATTCAAATTATTATGCATCGGGAATATTATCCGTAATTTACGTGTTTTCGTTGTACCGATCTGTATTCATATGTTCATATATATATATAAAATAGACCTCTAAATTGTAACCCATAGGTAGCCGAGAGGTTTCGTCGATGTGTTGATGTCAGTCACACATAACGGATTTCAAGGAGGGGTTCGATTCCCAGTGAAGGCATATAAAAATTACAAAATTTAAAGGTAAGGTTAAATTAATTCCATTAGTGAACAGAAATCAGTAAATAAGCCAATTCAAACTTAATGAAATTAGGCACACAAAGGAAACAATTTAATATGATTTGGTGAGTCCATTTCAGCCAGAGATTTAGGTAGCGTTGATTCTAGAAAAAGAGTCCACGGTGAATGAATAGGATGACGTCACGGCATTGGTTTAATTTGTCGTAAAGTTTGTTCTCAACCGACCCTCATTCCTCAATATCTAGATTTAAATCGATATGTAGGGATAAATGCGTTCAACATAAACATCAAACTTTGCATTTTCTAGTGAGAGGACATACTATTCAGAGCCACTGTCACTAAACTTTGCATTTTCAAGTGAGAGGAAATAATATTCAGAGAGCTTTGACCAGACAACTTTTTATTTTCTTGTGAGAAGGACATAAAAATCAGAGAGCTTAGACCACTAAACTTTGCATTTTCTAGAGAGAGGACATAATATTAAGAGAGATTTGACCACTTAATATTATGTCTTTTCAAGTGAAAGGACATAATATTCAGAGAGATTCGACCACTAAACTTTGCATTTTCAAGTGAGAGGACATACTATTCAGAGAGCTTTGACCACTAAACATTGTATTTTCTAATAAAAGGACATACTTTTCAGAGAGCTTTGACCACTAAACTTTGCATTTTCTAGTGAGAAGACATAATATTAAGAGAGCTTTAACCACTAAACTTTGTATTTTCGAGTGAGAGTACATTATATTAAGCGAGCTTTGACCACTAAACTTTGCATTTTGAAGTGAAAGGACATAATATTAAGAGAGCTTTGACCACTAAACTGTGCATTTTCAAGTGAGGGATATAATATTCAGACAGCTTTGACCACTAAACTTTGCATTTTCAAGTGAAAGGACATAATATTTAGAGAGCTTTAACCATTAAACTTCATTTCCTAGTTGAAGGATATTATATTTGGAGTGCTTTAACCATTAAATTTCATATTCTAGTGACAGGACATACTATTCAGAGAGTTTGACATTTAGTCTATGTTAATTACCTGCCAGGGAAATTCTCCAAGAGCAGCAACAGTTCCCCCTACGATCTTTGTACTAGTTTTTTGAACAGGCGTACTTATACCACACTGTCCTGAAATAATATGTATCTACAGTGCGTGATATCAGCACGACGTCAATACTCAATAAATGGCATCCTTGGCCAAGTATTCAAACAATGTCTCGGTACTGGTCGAATGGTACTGTCCGTTTATCACTCATTCGATGCATCTATACTGATTAAGTGGTATAGGCATGCGTATATAACTGTCGGTACTTTGGTATGCAATCTGTGTTTCAACATTGCTTGGTAGTATCGTCTGGATAATTTTAGTCAATGCTTCAACACCGGTTTAGCGGTATCGTTTGACTAATTATTAGTACATTTCACAATTATAAACTTGAAATCATCCTCCCGTCCTAACATCATGCATATGGTCCAAGGAATGCTTATTTTAGTTAGAAGGGTTAGCGGTTTTTGTACTAGTATTTAGTTTGGTACTATTATAGGTTGGGAATCAATTCATTTGGACAATCGGTCCCCGTGGGTACCATTCGACAAGTAGACATTGGGTACTGCCCGTACTGGTATTTACATGTGTTATGTTTTAATCAGCTTGAAAAATAATAAGTGATCGTACTTAAAGAAGTTGAAACCAATTAAGACGGAATGGCCGTACACCATTTTGGCTGTCCTATTTATCCACTTTAAGTTGTTGTGCATCCCAAAGTTCTATCTGGCGTTTGGTCTAAATCATACCCTGATTAAAGATATTCAAAATACAAATTTCCACACGGATCATGAACACTTATTTGCTTTAGGTTGCTTTGTTGTGCTTTTGTCCCTTTTCTGTTTTTCTAAAAATGTATGGACCTCGTACAAAGAAACAGTGAGAATCAATATACGTAAAATAGTAAAAAACAAAGTGAATGAGTTCTATATATAATTATATAGAATGCGACCACCTGGCACCAATCGTGGCATTCCACTTACCTGGTAACAATAGAGGAGCTGTAGTTATTTGTGGCAGGGATACAGCATATATTTCCTGGAATGCACATTTAACTTACCTGGTAACAATGGAGGAGCTGTAGTCTTTGTTGCAGGGATACAGCATATTTCTTGGAATGCACATCCACTACGTGAGAAGTAGGAACCAGATAAACAATGATTGAAATACATGTTTACACACGTACCTCCCCATCTTGAATGGCAAACTGTAAATTGTTTAATGTGAAAATAAGACTTTACACGAGACATTGAAGCTATTTTTCTGATGCTTGTAGTTTAAAGTTTTGGTTGGCTTGCTTGCTTTGTTCGTATAAATGGTTGCTCAAGCATTGTTATTCAGGTTGACATTTGCATTAAACTACATGCATTGGGACAATTGCTCTAAAACAATAAAAAGCAAATGAAACAACTCACGATCATAGCATGGTCTTATATTAGGGGTTATTTTAAAATAATAATTTTGTAATACAGATATTGTATTATTCCACAACGGAGTAATTAATTTTACAAATAAATAGGTGCTTTAGCATCGAATTAGTAATGAATTTTTTTCAGGTGAACAATTTCTTTAATTCACGTTTTTTTTTAACTTTAATTGTCCTGTTTAAGCCATACTTCTATATATAATCATGTTATCTGTTGGAGGAGTGTCTGGTAATATCTATCATGTTACACTATTCGTCTAAGAACAAGTCATTGACTGAGGATTCCACTCATAAAGATATACATAGATCAACAAGTATGTTGTAGTTTACTTAGTTTCAACTATAAATTAGTAAGGATACAACAAGTAATATAAAATCTTACCGTCGTCTGCTAGGGTCGAAACTAATAATAACAATAACGAAACAGCACTTAATGTAGCCATGTTCAGACGGTTCTGTCTTATCAGTCAAAGGTGGGCGACGTCACGTGAAGGAGAGATCAGACAGTTCAAATTCATGACATTGGACTTAACACTATTTCGCCATTACATTTGCCAGCTAATTTCAAGAACTAAATTTTGTGAACATTTTTGTATATTTACTGGCTAAAGTGTGTTTGTACAAATCTAATCAAAAGTAATATTTTATATCAATGATGAAAATGAAATAAAATAAAACTAATTTCATAACTAAAGCGGGCGTGGATTCAGACGGGGCGCACCACTAAAGAGTCTGTGTCGCTCACCTAGGTCTATGTACATCTTGAACAATGGACTATCCAACATTGTGGACTAGAATAGAGGCAGGACATAAATATCTTTGTGTTTTTGCATTGCAGATATCTTTTTCCGTGTAGTTTCTGTCGATCTTTAATTTTCCCCATAGCATGTTGCGCTCACCTGCATCTTCAATGATGGCCTCTTTTTATCAAAAAAAAGGGGAATAACTCTATTAACAGTTAACTGACAATTTCAGTAATGTTGACGTATTTGATCTAATCCAGCTGATATTTTTTTTTCCTTTTAAAAGTTTCTATTTATCTATTATAGTTTTCAAGATAATAGGCAAAAAATGCAAAGAAAAGGTAAAACTTATCATTAAAGGACAATACTCCAATAACTAGTGGACTAAAGACTTCGGCTTATGGCTTATTTGAAGATCTTGCCTTGCTGATCATTTGTGCTGTTTAAAGTTTCTATATATTTATTATAGTTTTCAATATAATAGGCAAAAATGCAACAAAAAAGGGTATTAACTTCAATAAAAAGTCGACTAACGATTTCCGACATGTTGACTTATTTGCTGATTTTTACTATAAAAGATTCTATCTATCTATTATAGTTTTCAAGACAATAGGCAAAATTGCAAAAGGAGCAAAAATTACCAGCAAGATATATCAGCATTAACAAAATTGTTAATTCGTTTCCTCTAAGGTGACATCATCGAATGATACTTATCATTTGTACTTGCATGAGTAGCACAACAGGTGCTACATGTGGTGCAGGAAATTCTTACCCTTCTGGGGCATTTGGGCTGACCCCAGTTTTTTGTTGGGTTCGTGTTGCTCAGTCATATAGTTTTCTATCTAGTGTTTTGTGGTCTTGTTCGTCTTGTTCGTCATATTTTACGATGACATTGGCAGTAATTCTTCAACTAAATGTGTTTTGAATGTCCCTTTGGTATATTCCACTTTTTTCTTCCTTCTATGAGCTATGGTTGGATTTTGTATTGTTGAAACCATTGATTTGATGAATAATGATCAATGATACAATTTACAAGGCTTATAGTTCTAGTTCACCAGTTGGCATTTCATCTATGCAAGATACAAAATAGTGTTCAATGAATTACGATGTGATCAGCCTGGTTGTTATCCAGATTCTGATTTGATAAGCCTGATTGTTATTCTGATTCTGATTTGATAAGCCTGTTTGTTATCCTAATTCTGATTTGATAAGCCTGGTTATTATCCTGATTCTGATTTGATAAGCCTGTTTGTTATCCTAATTCTGAGTTGATTAGCCTAGTTGTTATCCACATTCTGATTTGATAAGCCAGATTGTTATCCGTATTCTGATTAATATCCCTGATTGTTATCCTGATTCTGATTTGATAAGCCTGATTGTTATCCGGATTCTGATTTGATAAGCCTGATTGTTATCCTGATTCTGATTTGATAAGCCTGATTGTTATCCTGATTCTGATTTGAGCAGACTGGTTGTTATACTGATTCTGATTTGATAAGCCTGTTTGTTATTCCCATTCTGATTTGATAAGCCTGTTTGTTATCCTGATTCTGATTTGGTCAGCCTAATTGTTATCCCCATTCTGATTTGATCAGCCTAATTGTTATCCCCATTCTGATTTGATCAGTCTAATTGTTATCCCCATTCTGATTTGAGCAGCCTGGTTGTTATCCTTATTCTGATTTGATAAGCCTGATTGTTATCTGGATTCTGATTTGATAAGCCTGGTTGTTATCCGGATTATGATTTGATAATTTAGTAAATTGCTTCGCCGGGCGCAGCTGGATACGACCGCAGAGGTCCAACCCTTAACAGTTGGGGCAAAAATGGACACAATATTTGCGCTTGATACAGGTTTGAATTTGGATTGTAATTAAATATTTGACACATAAAAGGTTTCTGACACAGAATAACTGTAGTAAAAAAACTCAGAATTGGTTATATGATTTGAATTTATATTCAATTTTTTGCTTTTGTGCAATACACTGTGCCTGTGCGAATTGACCCACCCCCGAAAAAAAATCAATAAAAATTAACCCATTTGTTTTTGCTTTTGTGCAATACACTATGCTGTTGCATATTGAACACCCCCCCTTTTTTTGTGAAGAAATTTTGTTTAATTTCTGAAATCTGAAATGAGAAAAAATCCCCCCCCCCTTTTTCCAAACAAAAAATTCTTTCCCTCAAGATATGGTCATAATCTCAATTCAAATTACCAATGGAGTTTGCAACCATAATTACCCATTTAAATACATCATAAAAGTCTTAAATGGATATTTTAAAAGCAGTGTAAGGGAGGTAATCCAACATTGTACAACATTGTACAATTTTGTTTTGTTTTTGGATTTCCTCCCTTATACTGCTTTTAAATTGTCCATTAACCAGGAAACCCTTGTTTTTCACCCTTTTTTGCCCCTAATTCCTAAACGATTTGAGACATACCCCCCAAAGCCAATCCTAACCATCCCTTTGTGGTATGGAAACTTGTGGTATAATTTCAGAGAGATCCATATACTTAAACACAAGTTATTGTCTGGAAGTTACAAAAATGCTTATTTTTGGTACCTTTTGACCCTTAATTCCTTAACTGTTGGTACCATAACCCCCAAAATCAATCCTGACCTTCCTTTTGTGGTATTAAACCTTATGGTAAAATTTCATAGAGATCCATTTACTTAAACTAAAGTTATTGTGCGAAAACCAATGTGTCTTCGGACGATGACGACGACGACGCCGCCAACGTCATACCAATATACGACCGCAAAATATTTTTGCGGTCGTATAAAAATATGATGTGGTATGATTGTCAATGAGGCGCCTGGTTGTTATTTGATTTTGATTTGGTTTGATGCTGAGAGTATAGCATGGCAATACATAGTCCCCGACCGGTTAAATATTCATTGTTCTGGAACAAAATGCTAACTTGATCCATAACTTGTCATGTTGTAAACTATATAACAAATATTAAATCAATATCTTCAAGCATGATGAAAAAAATTGTGGAAAACTGATTATTTGCTTGAATTATCTAAGTCTGAGGACTATAACTCTGCAAAATAATAATCCGAAACAAACAAAATTCAAAATTGATCTGTAACTTGTCATGGTTAAACTATATACCAAATATCAAATCAATATCTTCAAGCATGTCGCCAAAAAAATGTGGAAAACTGATTACTTGCGTGATTTTTCAAAGTCCAAGGACCATAACTCTGCACAAAATCATCAGTCCGGAATAAATTTAATCTTGATCTTTAACTGGTCATGATAAATCTATATACCAAATCAATATCTTCAAATAAAAAAAAAAAATCAATATTTTCAAGCACGAAGAAAAAAAGTATGAAAAACTGATTTGCTGGACTGAAATAAAGACAGACAGACAGATGGACAGAGTGCAAACCTAAAAGTCCCCTTTGATTTCGTTGGTGGGGACTAATAAGCCTGGTTGATATCTGATTATGATTTGATCAGCCTGTTTGTTATACTAATTCTGATTTAACAAGCATTCTGAGAGTATTTCATGGCAATACATACTCCCCTACCGGTTAAACAAGCATTCTGAGAGTATTTCATGGCAATACATAGTCCCCTACCGGTTAAAAATTCATTGTACTGTAACAAATTGCTAACTTAATCTATAACTTGTCATGTTGTAAACTATATTACAAATATCAAACCAATATCTTTAAGCAAGACGAAACACAGTGTGGAAAACTGATTATCTGCTTGAATTTGAGTCCAAGGAACATTACTCTGCAAAAAAATCATCAGACCGAACAAAATTCGAACTTGATCTGTAACTTGTCATGGTAAAACTATATACCAAATATCAAATCAATATCATCAAGGATGACACAAAAACATTGTCATATTGTTTGTTAAAAAGATGTATTTTTTTTTCGGGAGATGGGTTTATAAAAGTTTTTCCATACTGGTTTCTGAATCCCATATCTGAATTTTATGTAATACTTCATTGGTATAATTTTTCATAAATAAATAGTTTAAACTAAAAAGTGCAGAAAAATGATGTGCCGATTGACAGGTTGAAATACTGACAGATATTACTGACAGACAGGGTGCAAACCTAAAGTCCCCTTCAATTTCGTCGGTAGGGTACTAATAAGCCTGCCTGTTATCCTGATTTTGATTTGATCAGCCTGGTTGGTATCCCTATTCTGATTTGATCAGTCTGTTTGTTATCCCCATTGTGATTTGATAAGCTTGGTTGTTATCCCCATTCTGATTTGATAAGTCTGTTTGTTATTCCCAGTCTGATTTTATCAGCCTGGTTGTTATACCTATTCTGATTTGATCAGCCTGGTTGTTATCCGTATTCTGATTTGATCAGCCTGTTTGTTATTCCCATTCTGATTTGATCAGCCTGGTTGTTATCCCCTTTCTGATTTGGTAAGCCTGGTTGTTATACCTATTCTGATTTGATCAGCCTGGTTGTTATACCTATTCTGATTTGTTCAGCCTGGTTGTTATCCACATTCTGATTTGATGTCTGATTGTTATCCCCATTCTGATTTGATCAGCCTGGTTGTGATCCCCATTCTGATTTGATCAGCCTGGTTGTTATCCCCATTCTGATTTGATCAGCCTGGTTGTTATCCCCATATTGATTTGATCAGCCTGGTTGTTATCCCCATTCTGATTTGGTAAGCCTGGTTGTTATCCCCATTCTGATTTGATCAGCCTGGTTGTTATCCCCATATTGATTTGGTAAGCCTGGTTGTTATCCCCATTCTGATTTGATCAGCCTGGTTGTTATTCCCATTCTGATTTGATCAGCCTGGTTGTTATTCCCATTCTGATTTGATCAGTCTGATTGTTATCCCTATTCTGATTTGATCAGCCTGGTTGTGATCCCCATTCTGATTTGATCAGCCTGGTTGTGATCCCCATTCTGATTTGATCAGCCTGGTTGTGATCCCCATTCTGATTTGATCAGCCTTGTTGTTATCCCCATTCTTATTTGATCAGCCTGATTGTTATCCCCATTCTGATTTGATCAGCCTGGTTGTTATCCCCATTCTGATTTGATCAGCCTGGTTGTGATCCCCATTCTTATTTGATCAGACTGATTGTGATCCCCATTCTGATTTGATCAGCCTGATTGTTATCCCCATTCTGATTTGATCAGCCTGGTTGTGATCCCCATTCTGATTTGATCAGCCTGGTTGTGATCCCCATTCTGATTTGATCAGCCTGGTTGTTATCCCCATTCTGATTTGATCAGCCTGGTTGTTATCCCCATTCTGATTTGATCAGCCTGGTTGTTATCCCCATATTGATTTGATCAGCCTGGTTGTTATCCCTATTCTGATTTGATCAGCTTGGTTATTATCCCTATTCTGATTTGATCAGCCTGGTTGTTATCCCCATTCTGATTTGATCAGCCTGGTTGTTATCCCCATTCTGATTTGATAAGCCTGATTGTTATACCTATCCTGATTTGATACCAGTTGGTTCTATAAAGTTTGAACCCTGCTTGGGAAGATGTGTTATACTCCTATCTTAATTGACTAGGATTGTCAGTTTTCCTGCCAAAGGTCGGTGGTTCTCTCCAGGTACTCTGGCTTTCTCAACAAATGAGAAAAATGGCTTAAACCCAATCAACTAATCAATCAATCTAGATTAAAAAAAATATACCATGAACAAAAATGTGCATGGCATATTCTTCATTAAAAAAATTTATATAAAAAATATTTATTGGATAAAATATTTATTTACAAATTGGAATAAATACAAAATTTCTTGGCTCATAAGTACATCAAAGACAGTGACTGTGAGAGATATGCATCAGCTTACAAAGTTTGTATCATTTTGTGTCTGACATTGTAAATTCTATACAATGATTTGTAGATTTTTCACCCATTTACTTCACTAATAATATGCAAACCCTTGACACTGGAATGTTTGAATCCCCCCGAATGCATGTTAAACTTTTTATTTCAGATAAACCCTTAATACAAGAATGTGTATACTGCTTAAAGCGAGCACGTTTGTACACTACTTTACACTCCAATTTTTAAAATCCATTGATCTTATAGAATGAGTGCAACTCATTGTTACCTGAATGCCCATTAACCTTACAACACTTTATAAGGGAGGAACAGATGTTTATTTAAAAAAGTCCAGGATAAAGGTATACTGTTTGTATAAAATTCAAGAAAAGTTATTAAGAATTTCTTAACATTATTTTTTACATTATTAGTGTATCTCAAGGGTAACTGGGCAAAGGGTTATGCTTAGCCTAGGATTAAATCCAGGTGTTGTAAATGTAAGTTGTTGAATACATAAGTAACAACCATCATCCTTTAAGGTGGTACCTAACACTACAGGGAGATAACTCTGTAAAAATCAGCTAAACGTTTTAATCACGTTGTATTGTTAAGGAAATATTAAGCTTCTCAATGATCAAAATTAGTGTTTGTCAAACTGCTATATAACCAGTGAAATTTTTCTGATAAAGTGGTTGGTTCAAATTATTTGAAATTTTTATATTTTTGTCAAAGGGTCAAAGTAAACATTTTGTCAAAATTTTAGGAATATTAAACGAGCCAAATTAATATTAGTCAAGGTGTTGGGTACCACCTTAAGTTCATTGACGTAATAAACAAGCAGGTGCATGTTTTGTCCTGTTAAGCATACCCTCACTCGTAATTCAAAGTATTGGAAATCAAGGTTTCTAACAGATCTGAAAAACATTAAATATAAAAACTCATTACTGCCAAGCAGCTGACTAATTATAAAGCTCTCCCTAAATGATTTTTTTAAGGAAACAGTAATGAAAATTTTAAAGTTTATTAAACACACTGGGTATCACGATCTGAAACAACGAAGAGATCCAAAACCATGACTAGCAAGTAATGAAAATTTTGTAACAGTTGGTAAGTAAAATCTGGATACGATTCCCACAGAGGAAATATGCTCAAAATGCCGAAATGTTCAAAGTATTGGCAAACAGGAAATAGGTTGATCTGAAAAGTATTCACACATTACAACTTATTACTGTCAAGCTGCTGATGAAATATGAAGTCAAACTGTTCAAAATAGTACACGAGAAATGTGACGGAAATAATTGTTGGACGACCAGACGGACAGACGGACATGGTGAATGTAATACAGCCCTACTTTTAGAGTAGGGGTTTAAATCATCAATAACATATATATTACAGTAAAGTTATGAACACAGTAGGTAATAATAAATAACATACAAAACTATTCATTTAATTCACTCAATCATATATCTACTTTTACAAAATTTGCCTCATCTCTAAGGGCTATTCCATTTAAATGTATGTGGGAGGGTAGGAAGGGAAGTTTAATTATTGAATGTGGGTCATGGGTCTTTTTTCAGTATGCGTCTATTACCATTATGCAAAATTATCTAAAAAATGGTTCTTAGTTGTAGGGATATTTTGACAGTCCCTTCCTACCCTCCCACATTCATTTTAATGGAATAGCCCTAAATTATACTCTTGTTAAACCTTGTATAATAATTAAAGCTGTAATTAATCAAATTCTCCATTTTTAAAATGTCCAAAAAATCCTGTGTTAATTTCTGCTCATACCTATATTTTTTAACATATATTAAAATTGAATTTTTTTACAGAAGGATGTATTTTAAACTTTTTTCACAATTTTTTCGAAAGTTTTTTAAAAAATCCAAAAGAATAAAAAAAAAAACACTTTCTTAAATACAGCTTGACAAATATCATTTTAAATTCTTACAATTTTATTTTGATATTTGATAACTGGTAGGGCTTAATCTACTGACTACTTTCATGAAAATTTCCTGCCACAATTTACTTAAATTGTATAAGGGGCAGATAGAAAGAAGGACAAATGCAAGAACCATTATTAAAGAAAATATATAACCTTATGGAGTGTAATTGTGCTAATTCCTAGAATTTCACCAGGGTTACAAGTGTATCCATTTCAAGTTCTTTCATATAAAACTAACCATCTATACTCATGATACTCAGAGATAAGAAACAATATTTCTATGGCCTATTTATAACCATCTATACTTAGAGACAATATTTTGACTCTTACATCACATATATCTGTCAATCAACAATTAAATACATAATTTTACTTAATTTACATCCAGCTTCATTTAGCTACACATCTGTGTCACTTAAATGCTTTAAACTTTGTCTAAACATTCAAAGACTTGCTGATATATATGTCACGAGACCTGCCAAACGTGGCAAGCACTGGTCAATCAAATCCATTATACAGTATCTAGTCATTCATTGGCTGCCTGATCTAAAACTTCCTGTGATTGGTCTTCAGGTTGTAAACCTATGTCACTTAAACGTTTTTTATAAGTCTCCGCCTCTACTTCCTTCTCCTTTAACTGTTGTTTAAAAGCCTCAGCTTGTTTCTGCATTTCTTCTAATTGTTTCTTTAAATCGTCCTTATCTAATGTCTCTAATTTTATCTGAAAAATAAAAATATGTTACTATGGTAACTAAAATTCACCATCTTATTTCATATTCTATAGCTTTTTATGAAATAAGAAAACTAGAGGTTCTAAAGAGTCTGTGTCACTCACCTAGATCTATGTGCACCTTCATAAATGGACACTCTCAAACATTTTAGACTATAATATTATTCATAACTAAAATCTCTTTTTAGTTGAACCTGTATTGCTCATCATTGTTTTCTGTTGACACAGAAATATATCTCTCCTTTTGGTAATTTTGAAAGTAATATGCCAATGTTGAAATACCATGACTGAGGGCCGGGGCCAAACCAAATAATCTCCATTGAAATTAGATGTGCCAATGCTTATACAACTGCATACCAAATATCATAGATTTAGCATACTGTGGATTCATTTAATTTCGTGGATATCAATTTTCGTGGATTGCTGAAAACTTGCATATTCGTTGATATTTGATTTCGTATTTTGCCAATCTCTGGATACAAAGCCTATTGAAAATATGTTATTCGTTGAACATTTGAATTCGTGGTTCACCTGTACCCACGAAACCCACGAAAATTGGTATCCAACGAATAATAATGAATCCACAGTGTTTCTCCATAAACTGATCTAATCACAAATTTTAACATGTAAACTATGTAAAAATTTCAAAGTCAATAGACCATAACTGAGGGGTTGGGCCAAATAATCTCCATGGAAATGAGATGTGCCAATGCTTATACAACTGCATACCAAATATCACTGATCTACCTTCAGTGGTTCCCCTTGAATTGACCTTATCACAAACTTTATCAAATTGTTGACCCTGTCAATGTTGGAAACAGCATACCTAAGTCTCACTAAATATATATGACTCCATCATGCGAGACAAAAAAGGTAAAATTCGTCATTTGAAGGCAATGACTCCTTTAAGTAGTTATCTAAATTTTCAAGAAAATGGACAGTTGGTATAAAGAATCATCATTCTGACATTTCTGCCCCTGTCAGATTTTCTCTATCTATAGTAGTTTTCAAGACAACAGATAAAACTTGCATTTTACTACCATATTTTTTAGCCATGTCAACAATGTTGGTTTGCAGGCTTGATCATCGGACACAATTTTTAAACTAGATACCTTATTAGGTGATGACTGTGGCCAATTTTGGTTCCAGTTGGCCCATTAGTTTCAGCAGAGAAGCTTTTGTAAAAGTTAACTGCCGACAGATGAAGACAACAGGTAAGTTAAAATCTAAGTCTATTTATTAGTTAATTAGGAAAAAATAAAAACAAATATTTTCAAAAATTTTCTCTGGTCTTTTTGTCATAGAAAAACTTCTGTCCTAATCTCATAAAATTCTCAGAGGTGTTGTATTCACATTGTTACAATAATAAATAAAAGAAGAATGTGTCCCAGCCCCCGCTTATAAATATACAGCAAATTCAGCAATTATTCAATTTACAAAGGGACATAACTCGAGAACGGTAAAAGTGACGCTCCATATTCGAACTTGATCTGTGTTTGGTAGTAATAAGCATTGTGTATAAGTTTCAGAACATTTGGTAAAGTAAAGTTAAGAGTGTGGAAACTGCAAATTTGAAAATATTTTCATTTATAAAGGGACATAACTCAAGAATGGCAAAAGTGATGCCACCCATATTCAAACTAGATCTGTGTTTGGTGGTAATAAGCATTGTGTATTTAAGTTTATTAACATTTAGTTAAAGGAAACTAAACTTAGAGAACGGAAACTAATTTTGGGACGTACTGACATACGGACAGATGGACAAGGGAAAAACTTAACGCCCCCTTCAACGTGATGGGGGCATAAAAAAATATTATATTAGTCCAATAACTCCTGTAAAAATAGTCAAATAAAACTTACAACATAACAAGGTCAAGAATAATCCTACCAAGTAGGAAAAGTTTATGTCCAATGGTCTTTGAGAATTGATGTGTTTCTTTCAAAAACATACAAGAGACCATTGCCATATCCCATGGTGTGATGCATGGGGGACAAATTAAAGGGTTTTTCTCTTCTCAGCTCTTAAAAAATTCCCTGTCATGGTTTTGCAAATTAAAATACATTGACCCAGACTTAATAACTTTGACCTGAACCTATCACTGACATCATGGAACTGACCTTGACTAGTTTGACCGAGACTTAATAACTTTGACCTGAACCTATCACTGACATCATGGAACTGACCGTGACTAGTTTGACCCAGACTTAATAACTTTGACCTGAACCTATCACTGACATCATGGAACTGACCTTGACTAGTTTGACCCAGACTTAATAACTTTGACCTGAACCTATCACTGACATCAGGGAACTGACCGTGACTAGTTTGACCCAGACTTAATAACTTTGACCTGAACCTATCACTGACATCAGGGAACTGACCTTGACTAGTTTGACCCAGACTTAATAACTTTGACCTGAACCTATCACTGACATCATGGAACTGACCTTGACTATTTTGACCCAGACATTATAACTTTGACCAGAACCTATCACTGACATCATGGAACTGACCTGGACTAGTTTGACCCAGACTTAATAACTTTGACCTGAACCTATCACTGACATCATGGAACTGACGTGGACTAGTTTGACCCAGACTTAATAACTTTGACCTGAACCTACCACTGACATCATGGAACTGACCGTGACTAGTTTGACCCAAACTTATAAAGGTTTCTTCCAGTTTGTTGGTGAAACAAAGAAATAACTCTTCGTTCAATCATGATAACTACTCAAATACAATCTGATATCTTAATTATGACATTTTCTTCATAATATTGATATAAAGATATAATTAACACTAGTTTTTTGTTACTATGACTACAGACAACATAAACATATATACCATTATTTAACTTACACCATCCCCTTTATCTTCAGGTTCAACATCTGTCCTTGACCTTTTGGCTGGGGGTTCATCTGTCAATGATGAAATACTGTTATTAAATCTATTGATATCCTTTACATTTAGTAATGATTGATTGATTGTTGGTGTTTAATGCCACTTGCAGCACTCTTGACTATATCATGACAACCAGTTTTTAATTGGTGGAGGAAGAACTAGTAATGGTGGATTGTTTTATACTTTGAATTATATTCAATGCGTTAGAATTAAAAATGGTTTCAAATAAGAATAGTTTATTCAAGTTAACAGGATAAAAGATAATCTTTCGAAAGAGATGACAAGAACTCATCAGGGAATGGATTTGGTTTAAGAATAGAGAACAATGGGCAAAAAGTGCAGAACTAAGGGCTACAAAAATAAATCAAAGAGCATGATTGCTCTGAGGGATATGATTGCCATTGTTTTCAGTTGATATTAGTCAGTATAATGACAAAGTTCAGGTGTGATTTTGATCCCATATATACCGTTTGTTGGTGCACCTGACAGTCGGAAAGTACAGATTATGCAACAGGTAACAGGTACTATTGGGATCAGGCCTGGAATGTCGTAATTTTCAATCAACAACATATTAGTTAGATTTCGCATGCAGTTACGTTGATTGAGCATGCACGACAGCGTATAAGACAAAGATCGATAACGGTCTCCGAAATTTGGATATTTTCTCAAAAATTGGCATTTTCTGTGGAAAAACAAGTGTTTCAAAGACAAATTTAGGAAGAACAAAACACTAGATTTATACATGATATCACAAATATTTCCGACTTTGTATGGTTTCAGAGGTTTTGATGCTCAATGAAATCAGTCTCTTCCTTTAGTAGTATAGATTCCTTCTAAATGTTATCAATCCCACATATTAAGGTAACACGATACCGAATGGCATATCTCCTAATTTCCAAACTTTTTGACACACGTGTTCTTTGAATCGAATTACATCGGAATATGTAATAAAAAATGGGGGTCACCATTTTTGTTTTCTTGGTATTTTGATAGTAATACGTCAATTTTGGCGACAAATTTACATAGGTATATAGGAGAAATGGCTTTTTTTCGGCTTTCCTTTTTAGATTTTCCAATGGATGGATATGTTCTTATATACGGAGAAAAACAAAAAACTAACATAATATCCAGGATTGCATACTGAATCCATACACGTAAAAAAACTCATATGTCACCATCCTTGTTTTTGAGATAAATGGCTTCAAAGTTGATCGATATGCCTAGAATTTGACCGAAAACGTATGACGTTATTGAATACAGAGTATAACGTTATTCCTACGCAGAGATATGGAAAACAAAATATGTGTCAGGATCTGAATGTTGTTTTTTTTATTTTCATTTCCCCTGTCGGGTTTCGTAAATTTCCTAGTTATGCAATATGAAATTCTACTGATATAAATTTATTTCGTCCTGCACATGGAAATTTCACTCACATGAATTAACATTAATCTCGTCTGAATTTCACACCAAACGAGCATATACTTGAAACTTGCTTGAACTGGTTGGTTCCACGTGAATCTTATGATAATAGTTCATGCATAAATCAACGGAATTTGGTACACGTTGAATTCACGTAAATTTTTATAATAAGATTATTCAAATAATATCTTTATTCTAAATTTAATTAAAATCATGAAAAATACCTCCAAATGTTTGTAAAGTTCACGTGAAAATAACATGAAAAATTTCACGTGTGGTTCATTGAATTAATGAGTTTTTAACTCCATCATTTAAGACAATGGTGGTGTCATCGCTGCATCCATGCAGAAATAGAGTACTTTAAAAATTTGATTTAGTTAACAGATTTATAATTGCTTGGTTTTTGATGGTTGTTTAACGTTCAGTGGCAAATAGTTCATGCATGTTCGGGACGATACAATACAATTTGGAAAACAGTTGTTTATAAAAGACAAATTTGATGCACCAGTCAAAAAAGGTTAAACATTCTGTTAGTTGTGAAAATTATGAGGGAAAATAATGATCCTGATAAAATACACATTCTAAAAAATAAAATAACAAAACTCAAAGAAAAATTCAAAACTTAAAAGTCCCTTATCAAATGACGAAATCATAAGCTCAAATACATCGAAAGAATGATAAACAGCCGTCATATTCTTGACTTGGTACATACATTAGTATAGTGTACTCTACGTGGTGTAAATGTGTGAGTTGGTTGGTTGAGCAAGTCGGACAAACCTTGCAAACTGTATGCAAAATTTCACAAAGTTCAACAGTCTGTCATTTGTGGAAAATTATTTACAAAACAAATCTTGAGATCATATATTCATTCTTTATAAGTAATGCAAACCGCGAAATATAAAAGTTCCAGCTTGAAATTCCACATGTAGGAGATGTAAGCTGGAGTCTGTACACTGCGTTCCTTTTATATGTTATCAAAATGCCTAATCCAGCAACCTGTCATGAACAAAAAATAAAGAAAATCCAGACGACATGCGTACCTTTAATATGAGTAGTAACACCAGGTAAATAATTTAAACCTGAAGCAAAAAGACTGTAGTCCTAAATAATTAGCCGTATGTATAAACCCTATGTATATATGTCAAGTGCGGGATTGACGGTCGAACGGACACGGGTGAAACAATATGATGATATGTGCTCTATTGGAATTTTGGTGACAAAACATATTTTTGAATATGCAGTTCATATAATGGAATGGTAATTTGGAGATCTAAAATGAAGTAGCAATGTAAGCAAGCTACCATTTCCGTCATTTTGTCTTTGGTGGAAAGTTGATTAATTGGCAATCTTACCGCATCTCCTTATTTCATTATGGTTTGAATTTTCTCAAGAAGAACAAAAGTTTTAAGACTTAACAAATATGTACTAAGAGACTGTGATAATTATACTACACATACTTTCCAATTTAGGGGACCAACGTTTACTAAAACTACAAATTAGAAATAAAAAGATACTCGTCCAATTAGCATTAGTCACAATTTTCTTGAGGTCTTTGGTTTTGATGTCGTTAAATGTCCAGATGTTGCTATCTTATAAATTGCATATCCCATATCTCCATTTATCATTATAACAGCCAACTTTTGTACAAAAAACATGTACCATATATTTTTTTGTTTTATTTGTACTTGTCCTTTTACAAATAAAGTCTCATGTTACCCCACTTCCATAATGAGCAAGCGGTCGATTGCTTTGAAAAAATTAGAGGCAATGATTTAAATTTTAACAATTAAAGTTATAAGTGACGGGTGTAAATTATAGGATTGATTGTTGGTTGCTTAACGTCCAGTGGCAAATAGTTCATGCATGTTCAGGACGAGAACAAGTTAACAATAAATACAATAGCTAGGTTTTGTAATAGAGGCCATCTGGGATGATGGTCGCGAAAATTTGGACTGACACTGGAAAATGAGGGTATATTGGATAGGGACAGACATTTTTTTTCGCAACAGGCCACCTACGGACCTCTCAAAGAGTTGTTTCAAGGGTTCTTAATGTTCAGAGAGCGTAGAACTCTCTTTACACGAGGCATCGGATTTAACGTCCCCATTCTGACCGGACGTGGCTGCAAACTTGATACATCCCGCACAGCCAAATGGACGCCCCACTTTGGAAGCATTTTCTGACTGCAGGTCGGAAGAAGACCAAGTGACCATATTTCTATTTCCTAGTCATCCTTGGGGTGTAAATTGTAGAATAAAAACAAAATATAAAAATTATGTACATTGTCAGAAATATAAAATTCAATGTATTTGTACTCACTACGAAACAAGTGAAAAGGTCGGCGAGTCTCGCTTTTCATCGTGTTTCTTAAGCTCGTACACATACATTTTATATTACAATGTACATATATATACTAGTATATAGTATATTCATCCACACAAAGAAATAAAAACACTTCTTTTTTACATGTATATAGATATACTTTTATACTTGTTCTAAAAACTCCTTTTAAAACTGTGAAACTCCTCGGGCTTTTCCTGACGCCTAGTATGTGAGCAATATGTCCCTCAGGGCCTCAAAAGGCAACTATGTTTATTCTCTTTCAGTCGTTTTGTCTCCGAACTTGTAAATGTAAATTATTTCCAACTCAAATCACACCAAAAAAAACACACTACCACCGAATACCCATGCAAGCGTAAATTAACACGAATATAAAATTTAAATGATTTCAAGATCAAGCTATTTCAGTCTCTTTCTGCCGTTTGAAAAATAATTAGTCAGTCGTTTGCTTGTAAATTTCGAGAGAGAAAAATTGTAACTGAACCAGTCTGACTAGAGCCAGCCCGAACTATCAACTTGCGTTTATAGACGCAAGTGGATACTTGGAGCTGGCTTTAATCAGACTGTAACGGGACCTGATTTTTTTTTATTTTATTTTTGCCGAATCAAGTTCCCATGTATTTCTCAGCCTACGTTAACTTTCTCAGGCCTCATTCCGATGTTGCTGTCTGCCCTGTGTAGACTTGGTCTATAGGGTTACAAAGCTAGCACTTTATTTTTAAAATGTTTCCGAAACTATATCGGATTTACTCTGTATAAACCAATGATTTTCAGAGACTGTTTACACTTGGAACATAGGGAAAGTTATTCGGCAAAATAAGCAAGTTAAACCACGTTTTTTATATTCCATACTAACAAACTATTTTCTGTATGAGTATCAAAGTCTGCTTACATTGTGCTTTTTCGCCTAATTCTATCCGTATTCTCATTCCGATAAATTTCCTGTTCCATTTTGCCCGAGCGGTGTTTTTGACGATCATTTTAACATGAATTAATAGTTGTTTTTTCACACATCATCCCAAGTGTCTATAGATTAGATTTCGACTTTCAAAACCAAATTTCATGGCGATACGGCGCGCATCATGAATAAGTATTTATTGCAAAAATAAACCAAGAATAAAATAAAGTGTTAAAACTCAGTCTGTTATGCATAAAAACATATATAAGATAAATCGTGCAGATGCTTAAATACTAAAGAAACACAATATTTAAAAGTAAAGTAATACATTTTTAAAGGTTAACAATGAGCAGAAGAATTGCCAGAAAACGATAAAGCAATCTATGTCAAATAAGTTAACCGTTACGTATTGCATCAAAACTCTCAGCACTCTACATCTAGGGAAAGTTACCGTTAAAAATGTCACATAATGAATTACCAAAAATATTTTTTTTATTATTTAATCACTTTGTGATTGCAGAACCTGCTGCATTGGCTTGTATGTGTGAACGTTATTCGATAACGTCAGGAACGATAACTCGTGGCGTAACGTCATTCGGTATCGTGTTACCTTAAGTGTCAAAAATATACATTTGTGCAAGCACACAAAAGTCAATTGGTTCTTTCTTTGGATTTAGGATTCATACATTTGTCATATGGCCCAAAATGTTAAAATCCTAGACGTCTTCCAAAATTGCACACATTTAAATGATGATTGCGGGCAAGATTGTAAATTCTATCATTAATGAAAAGCTTTTTGGAAAACGGTATCTCAATTTAACGAAAAAATCTAATGGATTAAACTAAACCCTGTTTTTTATGTTTTTCAACTTTCAACTTTGTATTTGATTCGACTTTCTTACTGTTTTGATTCATGTGCCACTGATGAGTTTTATGTAGCATTACCAAATTATAAGTTCCATACATTTTTTGTACATGAGATTTTGCTACTCATGCTTCTGTATCTTCTGTCAGTATGAAATAATCAACCTTTTTCTTCTGATGCATTTCTTGATTATGTCCACTGTTCATTTAATACATTAAACATGTTTAAGGAAATTTTGATGACTGAGATATAAATACTAGCTATTCATTGATGTCTTGTTAAAAAAAAAAGCTATTTATCATGTTCATTGATGTCTAAATTACTTTCCCCCATTACAAATAACTGAGTACATTTTAATTTCTCAGTAAAATACTCAAAAAATTAAAATTTGTTTTTCCTTCAAAATTTTGCCCTTTTGATCAAATTTACCCAATCCAGGTAGTACAATAAAATTGCATAAAATTTGGAAAATTCAAATTAATGGAGTGATCGAAGTGATCGTAATATAATGACTGGATTATTCGGGATGCCCTGTATGACATTATGGCACTTCTTACTCCAAACAAAACATTCTTGTTCAAAACCATCATACAGTTCAACACCACCGTAAATTGACTTCAAAATTTCTACTAGTTATATCGATTTCACCATGAATCTTCTGAATATTTCGTCTGCATTCCTTCGCTAAATTCTTCTGTTCAAACACGTGTATACATTGAAAACACGTTTCATGCTCCATTGCACATGTTTACAAACAATTTTAAACTCCTCCTTTTTTCGTGCCATACGTCAGGATACATTGATCCCATGATGCAGCTTATTTTTAATTTCCGGTTGACCGGCGTTAATGGAGTGATCGAAGTGATCGTAATATGACGACTGGATTATTCTGGTTACAGAATTCCCTCTCTGACGTGATTCTAAATATATAAAACCCTAAATATAAATACTGCTTAATTCTAATTTTCCGTATTGGAAAATAAACGCAAATGAAAAAGGGAGATATCAAAACAGGAGGATTATGAGAAGAAATTTAACAGAATGTTGTTTAAATTCAATCTCTTGTTTGTTTTTACTTTTTATAACAGGACAATCTTAAGAATCTGAGTTGTTCCTATTAATGTAAACACAAAACAGTTGACGTGAGAGTCTTGGAAGGGAGTCAATGGTAAAAGAGTCTACAGATTGCCTGAAGGCACTCGTACCCCAAAAATTGAGAAAAAAATCCTCAAATATACAGAATACAGAAAAATGGGGTGTTGAAATATAAAGAATAGACCTTATCGCTATTTGGATATCTGCGATACTTGAACTATTGACATCATACAACAATCACTTTTCCTTTGTCGTGTCAGACATTTTCTATTGTGATGTCCAGTAATGGCAGACAAATAGAGATAAGGTCTATAGAGAATAACAGGCAAAAATATTAAAGAATAAAGAAAAGAAGGAACCCCCATCTAGACCCTCATTCATCTTCAGGTGGAACCCCCATCTAGACCCTCATTCATCTTCAGGTGGAACCCCCATCTAGACCCTCATTCATCTTAAGGTGGAACCCCCATCTAGACCCTCATTCATCTTCAGGTGGAACCCCCATCTAGACCCTCATTCATCTTCAGGTGAAGTAAAACAAGAATAGGTGTCAACAGAATAGACAACATTCTCTCTCTGCCCTTCTAATTTTTTTTTTTTAACTTTAAATAACTACCAACCTGAAGCATCTCCCCCGGCTCCTTCTTCTGTTACCATGGCAACATCTGAAATTTGTAAACTATTTGTTTCTGTAACTGTAGTAACATCTGAGATGTGTAAGTTATTTTCGTCTGAGATCTGTAATCCTGTTTCTGTTATTTCATCCCCTTCCATTGTCACGTTTGTGACATCATCTGTTACCTCGGTAACGGTCAACATTCCATCAGTCGGTGTAACAATCTCTCCTGTCACTTCTGTTACCATAACAATACCATCTGAATGTTCTGTTACATCTCCAACTAAATCCTGATTTTCCATGGTAACTACATCATCACCCATGGCAACAATCCCAGCATCCTCAGTTACACCTCCCAGATTCTGGTTTGAGACGATCGTTAAAACATTCTGTAAAATGAATTATCAATTTCAAAAGATTTCCTGGTCAAAATTTAGTTTCCCTTATGCAATGGAAAATTATGGTGATAAAACTGACCTTAACTGGCTAAAATGGGATAAATAATTACTATGACATCACAGAAATGAGGTCATAGTCAAATAATGCCGGAAAGATGACTTAATATTTACATTCTTGTAAAGGCAATATTATAAATCCAATAATAGAAAAGGCAGATTTAAATTATACTAAGCATATATTTTTGTTCCCCCTCCCCATGGATCCCCCATTTCTACAACATTATCCCTTTGTTATCCTTACCTGGTCATCCATATTCTCTCCTGTTGTCATTAAATTTGTCCCCCTGGGAGCCCCATTTGAATATCTACAACATTATCCCTTTGTGACACTTACCTGGTCATCCATATCTCCTCCTGTTGTCACCAATTCTGTCCCTTCTGGGAGCCCTGTTACAATATCTTCAACATCACCCCCTATGTGAGCAGCTTCCTCTATGACCTCAGGACCAAGGTCAACTTCAGGTTTAACAACAATTTCTCCTTCTTCTCCATCTTGCTGTTTGATGAAGTTGAGAGCAATTTTTCCTGCCTCTGGAAAATAAATCAATTACTAGATTCAATCAAGCTTCTAAATATATTGTAAAGAAATTGAACCAGTATTGTTGGTCTGTTAGTTGACCTCTAGATGTCTTTTGGTTGTTTCAATTATTGGTAGTTGATTTTGACCTTTGACTATTGTTGAGCACTTTTTGTTGACCTCTAGAGTTCTTTTGGTTGTTTGTGCTATTGGGTTCTGACCTTTGATAATTGTTAAAGACTTTTGTTGAGCTCTAAATGTCTTTTAGTTGTTTGAATTATTGGGTGTTGACACTTGACCTTTGACTATTCTTGAAGTCTGTTTGTTGACCTTTCAATGTCTTTTGGCTGTCTTAAGTTCTTGCCTGTTAACATAATAGATTGTCCACTATCGATAGCAGATGTGATGATCCCTCCCTCTGAGATCATTACCATTGTTATACCCTGATTACTATGGTTACAAGTTCTTACCTGTTAACATAATAGATTGTCCACTATCGATAGCAGATGTGCTGATCCCTCCCTCTGAGATCATTACCATTGTTATACCCTGATTACTAGGGTTACAAGTTCTTACCTGTTAATGTAATAGATTGTCCACTATCAATAGCAGATGTGATGATCCCTCCCTCTGAGGTCATTATCATAGTTATACCCTGATCACTATGGTTATAAGTTCTTACCTGTTAATGTAATAGATTGTCCACTATCAATAGCAGATGTGCTGATCCCTCCCTCTGAGGTCGTTATCATGGTTATACCCGGATCACTATGGTTACAAGTTCTTACCTGTTAACATAATAGATTGTCCACTATCAATAGCAGATGTGCTGATCCCTCCATCTGAGGTTGTTATCATGGTTATAATACACTGATCACTATGGTTATAAGTTCTTACCTGTTAACATAATAGATTGTCCACTATCAATAGCAGATGTGCTGATCCCTCCCTCTGAGGTCGTTATCATGGTTATAATACACTGATCACTATGGTTATAAGTTCTTACCTGTTAACATAATAGATTGTCCACTATCGATAGCAGATGTGCTGATCCCTCCCTCTGAGGTCGTTATCATGGTTATAATACACTGATCACTATGGTTACAAGTTCTTACCTGTTAACATAATAGATTGTCCACTATCGATAGCAGATGTGATGATCCCTCCCTCTGAGGTCATTACCATTGTTATACCCTGATTACTATGGTTACAAGCTCTTACCTGTTAATGTAATAGATTGTCCACTATCGATAGCAGATGTGATGATCCCTCCCTCTGAGGTCGTTATCATGGTTATACCCTGACTTTCCAACCAATTCATGGCCTCAGTTGTGGCTGTGTCTAAAGATTAAAAAAAAAAAAAAAAAAAATACAATATTTCTGTTAAATCTTAATACTTAGGAATCATTTTTATTCTTTGGATACAAATTTCCATGGATTTTGTGGGTCACAGCAAACTAATAATTTAAGAATTCAATGAAGAATAATCACAACACTCTATATGGATCAGCTTCAAAGTAACAGCACTTGGTCAGCACCTCATAAGGAACATTCATGCCATGTTTGGTTTCATTCCATTCAGTGGTTCTCTAAAAGAAGACGTTTGTATGTATTTCCCATACGGTCCTATGTTAAACTAAGTCCCCTGCTGGCGGCCATCTTGGATTATAGATCGGCTTCAAAGTAACAACACTCGGTCAGCACCTCATAAGAAACATTCATGCCATGTTTGGTTTCATTCCATTCAGTGGTTCTCTAAAAGAAGACATTTGTACGTATTTCCCATAGGGTCCAATGTTAAACTAAGTCCCCTGATGGCGGCCATCTTGGATTATGGATCGGCTTCAAAGTAGCAATATTCGGTCAGCACCTCATAAGAAACATTCATGCCATGTTTGGTTTCATTCCATTCAGTGGTTCTCTAAAAGAAGACATTTGTACGTATTTCCCATAGGGTCCAATGTTAAACTAAGTCCCCTGCTGGCGGCCATCTTGGATTATGGATCGGCTTCATAGTAACAACACTTGGTCAGCACCTCATAAGGAGCATTCATGCCATGTTTGGTTTCATTCCATTCAGTGGTTCTCTAAAAGAAGACATTTGTATGTATTTCCCATAGGGTCCCATGTTAAACTAAGTCCCCCGCTGGGGGCCATCTTGGATTATGGATCGGCTTCAAAGTAACAACACTCGGTCAGCACCTCATAAGGAACATTCATGCCATGTTTGGTTTCATTCCATTCAGTGGTTCTCTAAAAGAAGACATTTGTATGTATTTCCCATAGGGTCCTATGTTAAACTGAGTCCCCCGCTGGCGGCCATCTTGGATAATGGATCAGCTTCAAAGTAAAAAAACACTTGGTCAGCACCTCATAAGGAACATTCATGCCATGTTTGGTTTCATTCCATTTAGTGGTTCTCTAAAAGAAGACATTTGTATGTATTTCCCAAAGGGTCCTATGTTAAACTAAGTCCCCCGCTGGCGGCCGTCTTAGATTATGGATCGGCTTCATAGTAACAACACTTGGTCAGCACCTCATCAGAAACATTCATACCATGTTTCGTTTCATTGCATTCAGTGGTTCTCTAAAAGAAGACATTTGTATGTATTTCCCATAGGCTCCTATGTTAAACTAAGTCCCCCGCTGGCGGCCATCTTGGATTATAGATCGGCTTCAAAGTAACAACACTCGGTCAGCACCTCATAAGAAACATTCATGCCATGTTTGGTTTCATTCCATTCAGTGGTTCTCTAAAAGAAGACATTTGTACGTATTTCCCATAGGGTCAAATGTTAAACTAAGTCCCCTGCTGGCGGCCATCTTAGATTATGGATCGGCTTCATAGTAACAACATTCGGTCAGCATCTCATAAGAAACATTCATGCCATGTTTGGTTTCATTCCATTCAGTGGTTCTCTAAAAGAAGACATTTGTATGTATTTCCCATAGGGTCCTATGTTAAACTAAGTCCCCCGCTGGCGGCCATCTTGGATAATGGATCAGCTTCAAAGTAAAAACACTTGGTCAGCACCTCATAAGAAACATTCATGCCATGTTTGGTTTCATTCCATTCAGTGGTTCTCTAAAAGAAGACATTTGTATGTATTTCCCATAGGGTCCTATGTTAAACTAAGTCCCCCGCTGGCGGCCATCTTGGATAATGGATCAGCTTCAAAGTAAAAACACTTGGTCAGCACCTCATAAGGAACATTCATGCCATGTTTGGTTTCATTCCATTCAGTGGTTCTCTAAAAGAAGACATTTGTATGTATTTCCCATAGGGTCCTATGTTAAACTAAGTCCCCCGCTGGCGGCCATCTTGGATGATGGATCTGCTACAAAGTAACAACACTTGGTCAGTACCTCATAAGGAACATTCATGCCATGTTTGGTTTCATTTCATTCAGTGGTTCTCTAGAAGAAGTTCAAAATGTAAAAAGTTAACGACGACGACGGACGACGGACGCCAAGTGATGAGAAAGCTCACTTGGCCCTTTGGGCCAGGTGAGCTAAAAAGAAACATTACATCTCAGAGGTAGCCATTTTGTTAATGTTTGGATTTCCATTGGAAACAAATCTTTCTCAGGTGTTACCGAATTACTAAATACAGTGTGTCACATGACGTGGAAATGACAGACAATCAATCATTAACTGATCATGTGAATACAGCCATCAGCAATAAACAATCCAGAAATAACAAGGTGCTAATTATCCTTACCTGTTGTGAACTTGAATGGCTTCGCTCTATCATCAATGTTTTAATTGTTCAAATTTCAAGTTTTACTTAGGAGCTTAACACATGCTTGTATATCTATTTACAAGGGGAAAATGGAAACTGAACAATCAAACAGCTTAAAATTTACATTTAACCAGCAAGTTTTATACAAATTTAGAAGTAAAAAGTGACATTTTTTCAAAACTGTAATTTTGAATAAACCTGTATACCTAATACAAGACAGTACAAACAAATTATTAAAAACCTATGACCACACATGTAAGCAAGGTTTGAAATGAATAATTTTTCAATCCTTGCTTACATGTGTGGTCTTAGGTTTTTAGGAATCTGATGTTCAGTAGTTGTTGTTTGTTGATGTGGTTCATAAGTGTTTCTCGTTTTTTATATAGATTAGACCGTTGGTTTTCCCGTTTGAATGGTTTTACACTAGTATTTTTTGGGGCCCTTTATAGCTAACTGTTCGGTGTGAGCCAAGGCTCCGTGTTGAAGACCGTACTGTGACCTATAATGGTTTACTTTTATAAATTTTGACTTGGATGGAGAGTTGTCTCATTGGAACTCATACCACATCTTCTTATATCTATTTTATCTACAATTACAAAGCTGGGATTTTGACAATTGAAAACAATTTAACTTCTGCTTTATCATCTAAACGTGATCATGATATTTATGTATTTCAAACTTTATTTTCTATTGTTGAAACAGTGACCCACAAGTTTATGTATCCCTGGAAATGCCTTTTCCTCTATCCATAGAAATTAAAACCCATTAACTCCTCCCAAAATTAGATGTGCGAACAAAGATAAACAACAGATGGTAGAGATAGGCAACACATTTGTAAGGAGGGACTTAAAAGCAGAGGGACAGAAGGGTTCATTCAAAAATCATGTGTCCTGTTGTGACTTTCCCTTTCTGTCCCTCTGTTATTTCCTCAAGAGTTTTTTGCCCTTTCCTGAATCCTGTTGAAACCACTCCTTACCAATGTGTCTATGTACCAAGTCAGACTATATTTATTGTTTGTCTTTGTTTGTACAGAATGAGACTTACTTTGTTGAATTGTATTTGGTGCCGTGGCCTCTGCTAAAGCAGCTAAAGTGGCTAACACTGAGGAATTCTGTGTTTCTGATGAGTCAGATTCTATACTTCCTGAAAAACAAAACAATGATTTGTCATGTCAATGCTAATGTTTGTGCTTGTTAAGATCAGTCTTTTGTTGAGTATGAACAGTAGAATTATAGGAAAACGTCACCAGTTTTACATGCAATTTATTGGTTTCCCCTGCATATCAGTAATGTGTTGTAGCAGTTTCAAGTTATATCAAAGAGTACAAGTAAAGTTGACACTTAGGACCATCTTGGCTTTGTTGTACACTTTATACTAACTTCTAAAAAATTGCTTAGGGAATTACTTGAAGTTACCAAACTTTTAGTTTTTTAGTCTTTATTAAATTAGTAAAAACTAAAAGTTTAAGTAAAAAACAAATTACTTCAATTCACTTGAATTTAGTAATAAATATTTCAATCTACTTAAATGAAGTAAATCTAAGGGCTCTGAAAAGCCTGTGTCCCTCACCTTGGTCTATGTGCATCTTCAACAGTAGTCACTCTCCAGCACTGTACACTAGAAATGAATTCATAACAAAAATCTCTTTTTTGTTGATCTTGTATTGCTGATTATTATTTTTTTTTTAGTTTCTATCTACCTTCTTTAGTTTTTGCCCAAAACACAAAAAAATTAAGATGAGTTTGTAAGACTTTATATTCAATTTGAGAGGCCATGAGTGGGCAGGCTTCCCACAATGGTCAGAAGGAGAAAGCAAGACCCTCCAATCATGTGATTTAGATGAGTTTCCAAGACTTTATATCTAATTTGAGAGGACATGAGTGGGCTCCCCGCAATGGTCAGGAAGAGAAAGCAAGACCCTCCAGTCATGTGATTTAGATGAATTTCCAAGACTTTATGTTTATTTGAGAGGACATGAGTGGGCTTCCCACAATGGTCAGGAGAAGAAAACAAAACTCTCCAATCAAGTGATCTAGATGAGTTTCCAAGACTTTATGTTTATTTGAGAGGACATGAGTGGGCTTCGCTTAGTAATCAGAAGGAGGAAGCAAAACTCTCCAGTCATGTGATCTAGATGAGTGTCCAAGACTTTATGTTTAATTTGAGAGGCCATGAGTGGGATTCCCAGAATGGTCAGGAGGAGAAAGCAAGACCCTCCAGTCATGTGATTTAGATGAGTTTCCAAGACTTTATGTTTATTTAAAAGGACATGAGTTGGCTTCCCACAATGGTCAGTAGAAGAAAGCAAGACTCACCATTCATGTGATTTAGATGAGTTTCCAAGACTTTATGTCTAATTTGAGAGGACATGAGTGGGCTTCGCACAATGGTCAGGAGGAGAGAGCAAGACCCTCTAGTTATGTGATTTAGATGAGTGTTCAAGACTTTATGTTTAATTTGAGAGGACATGAGTGGGCTTTGCTTAGTAGACAGGAGGAGGAAGCAAAACTCTCCAGTCATGTGATTGAGACAAGTTTTCAAGACTTACTTGAGACATTCTGGAATATATTTACAGGTAAAACATCTTTGTTAGATTGTTCATCAGTTGTCACAGTCACAGTTTCAATATTATCTGATTGGTCAATTTCTGTGGTTTCTATGGTGATAGAATCACCTTCTGTTATACTTGACAAGTCAGCATGCTGTAAAGTAAAGAACAAATTTACAAAGTCGAATAATTTAAGATTTATTTGCTTAATAAGGATTCATTTATTTTCGTGTACGAATTCTTATGATTTCAGGAAAACTTGTTTTTTTGTGGATATTGATTTTGATGTTTTGCCGAAGTCTACACACAAGCCCTTTGAAAATTTATATATTGTTTAAACATTGCGTGGTTCATCTTTCCCCATGTGAGTAAAAAAGTGGTACCTAATCTACATGTAACTATTTAAAATTCACTTCAGTTTCAATGCTTTGAACTATAGCTATATATTCCATCATGTAAAAGTACAACTGTGTTATTTGTGAAGTCAGTGACCATAAAAGATTTGTTTATATCTCCTTATTTATTTTGTTCCTCCAACAATAGACTGATGTGATATAGCTAATAATGCTGAAAAACACCAATATCAGTCAATTAATCCTATTACAGTGAAACTTCTCTAAACCGGTCCCTCTGAATGCTGGTTCTCCCCTCATACCGGCCAGATCAAGAAGTCCTGGCCGATTCATATTCAAATAAATGGTCAAGCAACCTTATAAAACTTGCCACCCCTTTAAACTGGATACAGGCCGGTATTTTTGTATTTGTTTAATCAAAATCAATAAAATTTAACCTCATAAAACCGGCCTTGTCATCTGAAATCACGGAGCCATACAAATAATTGTTATGCAAACAAAGAAGTTACTCCAGTCAATCAGGTCATCTGCATGCCAACTGACTACTGTTCACCTGTCAAACTTATCTCTATTCCCAAGCTAATTATGTGATGACAAGTCAAGTTAAATACACATGCTAGTGCTAAGTTTTTTTTTTATCTTTATATGCTAGTGCTAAGTTATAATCCAATCATCATACACAGTTTAAAACATTTACTAGAACATTTTAATTAACTATTAAAGAAATACCATTAATGTATAGTATATTTTATTTATTATTCCTGCAAAATAAAAAAATAAAATAAGATAAAATAGAAGTTGTAGACGTACTTTATGATACATATATACTCAAACCCACATATTGAAGAAAAGTAACTCTTGATGATTTCAATTTTCAACAAACCAGCAGTTTTCCGTGGTCCAACGGCTGGTTTTGAGAAGTTTCACTGTATATTGTTTGTTTCTTGATAATGTGATTTGTGGAGTATATGTATGATGCATAGAATGTTTTTTGTTGTCTGCTTCAAATTTATATAATTATATCATTTGGAACATTTTTAATATTTGCAGTATAAAAACAACATTGACCATGTACTCACGTGTTGCTATGACTACTTACCATTGTACCCTTTTCCATAATTTGATGTGTTGCTATGACAACTTTCCAGTGTAATGTGACAACACTACAAAAGTCTAAAAGTCTGAAAAGACCAGTTTTTGTCTTAATTTGCATGAACTTTTACTCGACATTCTCCAAAAGTATGACTTGTGTCTTAAATTTTCTTGACAAATTCTCATTTATATTAAATTTGTATGAAATTTACTCGACATATTCTCGACATTCTGAATATGGTCTTAAAATTTCTTGACAACTTCTTGACATTTGAATACTGTCTTGAAATTTCTTGACATATTCTCGACATTCTTATTTTTTCTCAGTATGGCTTGACATATTCTGAACATTTTGAATCGAGTCTTAAATTTACTTGACAGTTCTGAGTTTTACAAATCATGACCAATATTCATGATATAACTTTAATCTTTATTTCTCTTTATATGATATACTGTTGTTTCAAGTTACACTTCTTTACAACAAAAATAAAAGTTGGGCATGTAAAATAATTGAAAATTTGGGTATATAAATATTTTTACAAATGCAAATATGGCTATGAAATCTAAAGTATAAAATAATTCAAATGTGGGTGTGTTGATATAAAACAATTTCAATGTGGGTTTTTTAAATAATTACAAATTTTGATTCCTAAATCTTATAAATTAAATGATTCAAACCAATCATACTGTAGACATATATCATTCTACATTCATAATATTCAATGTTGATATGGTAAATAATTATTATACCAAAATGATGTTTATATAAATAGCAAGTTATGATGATATACAAATCATTCATTTAACAGAAGAAAAATTTGTGTAATGTCATCTGTTGGAATATATTAAGTATTACACATGGACAGGATGTTCCCCATAAAATTAAGGTATTCCACACCCTAGAGTACACGCAACTGTCAAATAGAAGTTATTGCTTTACCTGTAATCAGCCATACAACTTATCTGTTGACCGACCATGCCACTACAATTTAAAAAGTTTGTTGATAGATGAAAATGAAAATCATCATTTTGATGAAAAAAAATTGAATTGAAATGGATTTTCTTCAACAAATTATGAAGTTAATTATTTTAACATAAAAACAAATTGAATAATTCCCAAAGATTAAAAGAAAATTATTATCTACTCCAGGAATAATAAAAAAAATGTATTTATAATGGGTCCCATCAATGATTTCTATAGAAATCATCAGTCTTATGAAATGGTTCTCAAACAGACATGCATAATATAGATCTAAACATTTTTTTCTTTTCAGGAAGGAGTTATCACAAATATTTATTTTTGATAAAAAATTATAAAATTCAACACTCAAATTTGAATAAAAAATGTTTTTGGGTTGTTCTAAAAAATGAATAAGGTTTTTGAATCAAGATGGGAACAAATTATTTGACTTAAACGAAAGCCCCCCCTCTTTTTTTAGCCACACAAACCCAAAAGATGAATTGTGGGGTCCAAAAGAGATACAAGACACCAATTTTAGTAAAGCAAATTTGACTGGCGTTTTGCGAACGGCAAAAATCTAAATGCTGTTTGTCAATACCTTCGACTTATATTCCAAGTGAAAACAATTACTTAAATGTTTAATAAAAATAAATCAAAATTAAACTACATGGGGGATTATTCAGGGTATTCCAACTTAGTTGCACCAAAAGGGTATCTTACTATACCAAATTAATCCTTGATTCTTCAAAGTTTAGTTTAGCCATAATAAAAAGGAGTATATAACAGCAATAGAATGTCATAAACAGTGCAGAATAAGTCTGTTCACATTTCAGGCGAAATTTATACTGTTGAGATAGTGTCAAGACATATTTAAGACTGTCAAGAATGTGTCGAGACATATTCAGACATTATTTAGAATGTCAAGAATATGTCGAGACATATTCAGACATTATTAAGAATGTCAAGAATATGTCAAGACAGATCGAGACAAATTTAAGACAGTCAAGAATTGGTCGAGACTAATCCAGACTCTTATCAGATGATACAGGAAGTGTCGAGAAATTTTAAGACAAAGTTCATACTGTCAAGACACTTGTCAAGAAAAATCAAGAACCTTATTAGACAAATTCATACTCTGTCAAGAATTTTTAAAAATTATTCAGACAAATTAAGAATGTCGAGTAAAAATTCATGCAAATTCAGACAAAAACTGGTCTTTTCAGACTTTTTGACTTTTGTAGTGCAATGACCTCATGTGCTGCTATGATAACTTACTATTGCACCCTTGACCATGACCTCCTGTGTTGTTATGACAACTTACCATTGTACCATTGACCATGACCTTGTGTGTTGTTATGACAACTTATCATTGTACTGTTGACCATGACCTTGTGTGTGTGTGTTGCTATGACAACTTACCATTGTACCGTTGACCATGACCTCATGTGATTTTACATCTTCTAACTGTTGTACTGTACCACCATACTGCATCTGTAAAAACCAAGTCATATGATTAAAATAAACTGTTGGAAAATAGTTCTAATGAGGAAAATATATCAAATTATTTTGGGAAAATCATTGTGTACTGCATGTGAACTAAGATACTTTAAAGATTTAAAATTGTGACATTCAGAGATCAGTGTCTAAATCTCAATTATATATGTTATTTAGGTCTCTTTAGCAAGGGGATATAAACCCTAGGCCGGGAATGTCACATTATATACCCTGTCTGAAACCTGAATTACACATATATTACGGATTACCTTGCCTTAATGTTTTTCCAGTACCAGGTATTTGTTAAATGTACACCATGCAGTATATATATTTAGTATATGTTTATTGTTTCTTTAAATTTTGAGTAATTCTTTTTAAATGCAAGGTTTTCATCTTGACAAATATTTTTTTTTCTTCGTTAAAAATATTTTTTCAATAAAGTTTTTAGATTTCATGTATACTGTTTGCATGTTTGTGACTTTTTATGTATTTTGATGTTTTGAAAACAAAAATAAATTAATCAAGTAAATCACGTGATTTTAAATCAAAAACATATTATTGCATCATTATTATTCTTCTGTGAGCCTCTGGTATTCTTTAAGTGTTCTGTATAGCTTAACACTACGTCACATAGTAACTTTCTTTATGATGACGTTGTTGAGGTTCCAATTGGGGTAAAAATACGTCTATATACCCCAGCAGTTTCCTGAAAATATACTGACATCTCTGTGATGTTATCCAATCACAAAGCTAAACACAATTGTAATCCGTAATATTATAACATATGTCCAAATCTCAATTATATCATATATGTCCAAATGTCAGTTATATCAATGGAGGGGTACTAAGGTCTAAGAATTGTAATCAATAGGTATATATGTCCAAATGTCAGTTATATCAAAGGAGGGGTGCTAAGGTCTAAGAATTGTAATCAATAGGTATATATGTCCAAATGTCAGTTATATCAATGGAGGGGTACTAAGGTCTAAGAATTGTAATCAATAGGCATATATGTCCAAATGTCAGTTATATCAAAGGAGAGGTACTAAGGTCTAAGAATTGTAATCAATAGGCATATATGTCCAAATGTCAGTTATATCAAAGGAGGGGTACTAAGGTCTAAGAATTGTAATCAATAGGCATATATGTCCAAATGTCAGTTATATCAAAGGAGGGGTACTAAGGTCTAAGAATTGAGTATTTTTATGTGTATAATTTTAAGTGATACGTATGGATCAAGTTAACATGTATGCTTTCTTCGGGGAGTTGAGAATATAGTGTTATAGGAGCGGTACTAAGGTTTAAAGACAATTACTCTGCTATCATAGCCCTTCCTTTGGCTATCACAATTAAAGAACCTTAGTGAGCGCGCTCACATACCCCACGTCCCCACATTGTCACTGGAGAAATAAAATAACAGTAAGAAAAATAAATTGTATAAGAAAAAAAAATTTAATCATAATTTCCTGTCGATATGCACATCTACGTAGTATGTCCTTATTATCTACAAAGTTTCATGAAATTCTGTTGTGTGGTTTCGGAGGAGTTGCGATGACAAACTGTTGCAGTAGTATATTGAAGCAGATAAGTTCAAAGGGGCATAACTCCTAGAAAAAAATTGAATCATAATTTCCTGTCAATATGCACATCTGCATAGTATGTCCTTATTATCTAAAAAGGTTTCATGAAATTCTGTTGTGTGGTTTCAGAGGAGTTGCGATGACAAACTGTTGCAGTAGTATATTGAAGCAAATAAGTTCAAGGAGGCGTAACTCCTAGAAAAAAAATTGAATCGTAATTTCCTGTCAATATGCACATCTGCATAGTATGTCCTTATTATCTAAAAAGGTTTCATGAAATTCTGTTGTCTGGTTTCAGAGGTGTTGCGATGACAAACTGTTGCAGTAGTATATTGAAGCAAATAAGTTCAAAGGGGCGTAACTCCTAGAAAAATAATTGAATCGTAATTTCCTGTCGATATGCACATCTACGTAGTATGTCCTTATTATCTGAAAAGGTTTCATGAAATTCTGTTGTGTGGTTTGAGAGGAGTTGCGATGACAAGAAACAGGACTGATGGACAGAGGGACGGACAGACAGACGGACGGGTGGGTCAAAAACATTATAACCTCCGCAACTCGTTGCATGGGGTATAATAACTAATAATAAGTAATAGTCAATTTAATATCTGTATGTTGACTGTATGTAAACAAACCTGTGCCATGGTCAGTAACTCTGCTATATCTGCCCTTCCATTGGCTATTGCAATATCTAGTGGAGTTCTGTCAAACTAAAGGTAGAAAAAAAGTTTGTTATTATAAATACAGTAGAAGCTTTTCTATTGTATATTTCTCCAAACTTAAATTATTCTTCTAATGATCATAAAATCAATATCAATACAACTTGATGCATCATCAAAAATACATTCTTAAGTCCTATCATTTTACATGTCTTTATACAGCGAATAATAAAAATTACTATATAGGACTTAAAAATGATCTCCCCTTCTTTCTAGTTATCTCCCCTATTCTACATATCTCCCATGCATTTCTTTTCTTTTGCATTTGTTTCACTGAATATATTGTGTTCTTAAGGTTCCACTAAAGTCAAAATATAGGACACTTCATAAACATCTAAACTTTGCCTGTATTTTTCAACCTATAATGAGTAAAGTCCTAAACTATGAGAACATACATGTATGTTCATTTAAACATACTTAACATATATACACTGTGTAAATTGTAAATAAACAAAAAAATCTGGAGGCCTGCGAGACGACTTAATTTGCTTAAAATTGGTATGGACGAATACTGTTACATGCAATGCAGGGCAAGCTCATGTTGATTTGTCACATACATATGTTTTAATGGCATATTTGTCCAATTTCTGTATTGTAACTTCGATATTTGTTCACCTAGATACATGAAATTAACCGAAACTCGAAAATCAATACATTTTCTGAAAAATCAATATGAGCTTGCCCTGCATTAGATATAACAGTATTCGTCCATACCAATTTTAAACAAATTAAGTCGTCTCGCAGGCCTCCAGATTTTTTTGAAAATTTAGTGTTCACCCCAAGAACCGGTTTGGCCACAACATAACAATTTCAAGTTTATTTGCAATTTACACAGTGTGTATAAGTTAAGTATGTTTAAATGAACATATGTTCTCATAGTTTAGAACTTTACTCATTATAGGCTAAAAAATACAGACAAAGTTTAGATGTTTATGAAGTGTCCTATATTTTGACTTTAGTGGAACCTTAAACAAACCAGTCTATTCCAAAATCTAATGTAATACTTCAAATACAAAGACATCTACCTTGTAAAACATCCTGTTTTATTCCTGACATTTCATTCAAAATCAGCATGCGTTTTACAAAGAGAAACATTAACAGTGAATGAAAGGATTCATGTTGCTCAATAGTCTTCTTTGCAGAGTTGTGTTGACAGTTTTTTTTCTCTTTTCTGACCATGGTGTTGTGTTTTTTCTTCTGACCATGGTGTTGTGTTTTTTCTTCTGACCATATTGTTGTGTTTTTTTTCTTCTGACCATGGTGTTGTGTTTTTTATTAGCCTAGGGTTTCTGATTTCCTGATTTTTAGGAGAGGGATTGGCACATACAAACAAGTTTAACTCTACTTGTTTTTTGTTTGTTGTTTTGTACATAAATCAGGCCATTAGTTTCCTGTTTTGAATTGTTTTACATTTTGACATGTTGTGTCTGTTTAAAGTTTGCTATGCAGTATAGGTTTGGCTCATTGTTGAAGGCCATAGGGTGACCTATAGTTCCATACTCCAACGTCATCTGGTCGATAGATGTCTTATTGGCAATCATACCACATCTACTTATTCTATAAAGAAAATGGTAGCCTACCTTATTTTCACAGTTGATGTCTGCCCCATGTTTTATTAAAGTTTCTAATACTGGTTTGTGGCCTTTTTCTGAGGCCCAATGCAATGGAGTCATCTTCAACTGAAAATCACATAAAACTGTGTCACTGGTAACTGGTAAATATTTTCTCAATGTATTTATATTGTTGTTGTGCTACATGTTTTCCCAGTTATATAATTTTAAACCAAACTGCTTTAATAGTAAATACTCAAGATTTTATCAATATATGATTAGATGATATACATAATTTGTTCAAAACTCCTTCAACATAGTTAAAAATACTGAACTTTAAAATAAAAAGACCTAGATTAAAGTCATAACTGGAATGTTTGTGCCAACTATTTTCATAGGTATATTTTAAGCGTCAATGATATTAATGATTTGACCATATCTTTAGCATCAATATCTGCAGCATGCTGTATGAGTTTTGTTATTATAAAGGGTCAATGATATTAATGATTTGACCATATCTTTAGCATGCTGTATGAGTTTTGTTATTATAAAGGGTCAATGATATTAATGATTTGACCATATCTTTAGCATCAATATCTGCAGCATGCTGTGTGAGTTTTGTTATTATAAAGGGTCAATGATATTAATGATTTTACCATATCTTTAGCATCAATATCTGCAGCATGCTGTATTAGTAATTCCACTATATCATTATGTCCTTCTTGGGCTGCCACATGTAATGGGGTCCTGTCTACTTTGGTCCGAGCATCACGACTAATTCCTGCTCTCAGTAAAACCTCAGCTGTGTCATGATGTCCAAACTGTGTAGCAAAGTGTAATGGAGAGGTTCCAAGCTATAAATAGACATATAAAATTGGTCAGTCATGACTGAATCACTGATTGGTCAATACCTCTCTGTGTCATGATGTCCATACTGTGTAGCAAAGTGTAATGGAGAGGTTCTAAGTTATAAATAGATTTATAAAATAGGTCAGTCAAGACTGAATCACTGATTGGTCAATACCTCAGCTGTGCCATGATGTCCAAGCTGTGTAGCAAAGTGTAATTGAGAGGTTCCAAGCTATTAATAGATATATAAAATTGGTCAGTCATGACTGGATCACGGATTGGTCAATACCTCTCTATGTCATGATGTCCAAACTGTGTAGCTATGTGTAATAGAGAGGTCAATGGCTCTCTGTGTCATGATGTCCATACAGTGTAGCAAGGTGTAATAGAGAGGTTCCAGGCTATAGATACATCAAAATGCAAGTCATGACTGGATCACAGTTCACTGCTGGAAGTCATACAGTGTTAGGATGATTATACAGTTTTGAAAATAAAGGAATAACAATACTGAATTTGAAGAGTTGTCACAGTCAATTAGGTATTTGACAGTCACAAACGTTATTTTGATATTCCTGTTCTGATGCATAAGAACAAATTCTACTTTCTTAAAATAAGCCAAAATAAAATAAATTCTATGAAATTAAGTGAATGACTTAAGTGTATTAGTGTCATGGCAAAAGATAACATCATTTAAAGCATCGCCAATGTGTATTAGTGTCATGACAAAAGATAACATCATTTAAAGCATCGCCAATGTGTATTAGTGTCATGACAAAAGATAACATCATTTAAAGCATCGCCAATGTGTATTAGTGTCATGACAAAAGATAACATCATTTAAAGCATCGCCAATGTGTATTAGTGTCATGACAAAAGATAACATCATTTAAAGCATCGCCAATCATTTGCTGATTATTCCAACTTAAGGTAGGTATTCACTGTAGAACTGACTCGCTAGTTATTTAATAACAGCTGCCATCAAATTATAAATCTCTCACAAGTTTTATTTATATTTCTCCGATAAACAAAGACATAGAACTATTAATTAATGATAGTTTTGTAGAAAGATCGCATCACTTTTATCTTTTTTTTGCATCATTTTATGTCATAGTCTGATAATTCCTATATTTATCTTTCTTCCAAAAAATGTCAAAATATGTGTAGTGTTTATCAATGAGTGATGAAAAATACAATGTTGTGTCACTACCAGTTGTGGTAGAAGTCACAATGTTGTGTCACTACCAGTTGTGGTAGAAGTTCTCAAGTTCTGAATGGTAGATCAAACAATTATTGAAATTCAAAACAGTAATGAAGGTACTCATTCATGTCATTCTTTAAAGGGGCATTGGCTATCAAATTCATGGTCACCGATATGACTCAAATTCTCATATTTGATTCATAACATACTAAAACATATATCCAAATTATAATAAACAGCTGCGCCATGAGCGCATGATATGCCCGTCGCATATTTTACGAATAAAGTTCAATAACTTCTCAATGACATATCAGAAATTTGTGAAAAACTAAAGGGAGGTTATCTTAATTGATATAAACCAGTCACCAAAGTTTAATGAAAACTGCTCAAAGCACTTAAAGGTATTGTCCGAAAACTAAAAAATCACCCCTTTTTTATGAATAAAATCCCATAACTCGAAAGTGTTAAATCTAAAATTTATAAAAATTGAAAGAGAGCTTACATCAATAGATATAAACAATTCTCCAAAGTTTCATGAGAACTGCTGAAACCATTTTTGAGTTATTGTCCAAAACTGGAAAATCCCCCTTTTTTTTAATGAATAAAACTCCATAACTCGGAAACGTAAAATCTAAAATTTATAAAAATCAAAAGGGAGCACATGTCAATAGATATAAACAATTCGCCACAATTTGTTGCAAGTTGGTGAAGGCATTCTTGACTTATTGTCTGAAAACTGGAAAATCCCCCTTTTTTTAATGAATAAAACCCCATAACTCGGAAACGTAAAATCTAAATTTTATAAAAAACGAAACGGAGCTCACGTCAATAGATATAAACAATTCACCAAAGTTTTATGCAAATTGGTTAAAGCATTTTTGAGTTAATGTCAGACATGTTGACGACAGACGGACAACGGTATACCATAATATGTCCCGTAAACGGGCGTATAATAAATAAACAGCTGCACCATGAGGGCATGATACGTCCGTCGTCTTGTGTGTGAATTTTTATGCAATAAGCATAAATAGTTTCTGACATACGGTGTGACATGCGAAAACCCGCTTTTTTTTTTACAAAAAACTCAATATCTCTAAAATAAAATTTTGAATCAAAACCAAAAAGTATACAGATCTTAAGGTTAATATAACTAAGAAGTGTGTAAAGTTTTAAGCAATAATCATAAACTGTTTTTGAGATACGGCGCGACATGTGAAAAACCCCTCCTCCTTTTTTAACAAAATACTCAATATCTCTAAAATAAAATTTTTAATCATCACCAAAAAGTATACAGATCTAAAGATTAATATAACTAAGAAGTGTGTAAAGTTTTAAGCAATGATCATAAATTATTTTTGAGATACGGCGCGACATGTGAAAAAAAACACATACACCTGTTTTAGTTACTAAGTCCGATAACTCAAAATGTTTTAATCTTATTTTCACCAAAAAGTATACAGATCGTTTGACCATCATAAGAAACAACTATGTTAAGTTTCATGAAATTTGGATAAGTCATTCTCAAGTTACGGTGCGACATGTTTACGCCGGACAGACAGACGGACGGACGGACACCGGACATTTGTATACCATAATACGTCCCGTCAAAAATTGACGGGCGTATAAAAACAAAAGGGAGCTCACATCAATAGATATGAACAATTCACCAAAGTTTCATGCAAATTGGTTGAAGCGTTTTTGAGTTAATGTCTGACATGTTGACGACGAACAACGGTATAAAGTATACCATAATACGTCCCGTAAACAGGTGTATAAAAAGTCTAAAATAAACAATTTACAAGGCATGGGGTAGATAATATGTACATGTATCATTGTTTCATGTGTATTTTAGTCTAGACGCCATCTAATTAACTATCGAGTTGACCTCCGAAGACTGCCAACTGTCATATAAGCGATATAAACATAAATAGATAGCGAACTTGTGCAATTGGATTTTTCTAGGTCTGTTTAATTTCATATTATACGTTTAAAATATAAGATAATCATCGTTTTTGTGGATCGAATCAGTCAATCAAATGATTTACCTTTGTTTCACTTTCATTCTTTTCCTTTTAATAACTGAACACGCATATATAATTCATGTGTAATCCATCTCTAGCTAACATGGCTAAGGGGTTAAATTGAAAGTCACATGAATACGGATTCAATGAGGTTGAATTATTCACTTGCAAGTCAATAATTCATCATCGATGTTTCTTAGCTTATTTTGACAAATAAATGATTGAACAAAAAAAATCATATTTAATTTTTTTATATATATATCTCGTAGCTAGTGCCCCTTTAATACATTGTAACTTTGTCTCATGTACAAGTATCCAATCTTTCAGAACTTCACTACAAACAATAATGAATTTCATAAGCATTATAGAAAGAGAACGTTGTCTTTTGTTTCTTTTTCTGTAAATTGAAAAGTATTTTTTAACTAATATAGTGTCTTCGTTTTCTAAACTATGTATAAATACCCAGTCTGTTGTGAATGGAGCACCATTTGACATCAGTGTCCGTACTTCATCTGTCTCTCCACGCTTGGCTGCCTCTAGTAACCGTTTACCCAAATCTACCAATGACATTCTGTGTAGATTTCTTGGTCCTGACTTTGATTCTTGAATAACAATCTCCCTGTCCAAGGGAGGTAATACCAGTACTTCCCGTTCTATAAAGATAGATAATACAGAGTATAAAACAATATTCTATTTAATTGGGGATAAATATGAACTAACTTTCAACATATGGAACAAAACAAATTCTTTTTATTTTTCTAAAAATATTATTTTGATACAGTAAAGAAGAAAATTTATATAAAATCACAAAAGTTATAATCTGTTCAACCCTCACATTCATTAATTTTTCTGTAAGCATGGTAAGGTCAGACTTTGAGACAAGAATCTGTGAAATTGAAGTATTCATTATGATTTTGCAAGTAATTGATTTAAAAAATAGCAAAAGCAAGATCACTTTAAAATAACAAATTTGTTAGGAAGATCTATAACATGTGAATCTAAACCCTTGAGAATATGGTTTTGTAAAGAAATCAGGAAATATATATACTGGGATTCATATATATTGTGGCTTTCTTTTTGTATTGTTGAATTCCTTGTATAAGGGTATGGATTGGGTGCATACCTGACATCCCAATTGTTCTATTTCCAGTACATATCTGACATCTCAATTGTTCTATTTTTAGTTCATACCTGACATCTCAATTGTTCTATTTTCAGTACAAACATGACATACCTGAATTCTTAATTCTATTTTTTGCACATTCCAAACATATTAATTTTTAAATACAAACCTGACACCTCAATTGTTCTATTTTCTGACATCAATGATATCTGTAAGAATCATTAACCTCTTTCTGAAATAAAAATACAAATTATATATTACAATGTATTAACTGCATTGCATAATATTTAACTAGAATTACAAAATATAGGTACAATGTAATATATAGAAAAAATATAATCTATAAACCTCATTCCACAATATTAGAAATTTGAAAAGGTTAAACATGTAAATTATGTTTACCGTAGCCTAAGGTTACTTTTTGGGATTATTTAATTAGGGGGGGGGGGGGGGGGGGGTAGATTGGTTTTGTTTGAGGGAAAATACATTAAATTTCTTATTTTGATATTTTGTAAAAATTACACAATTTTCACTTGGAAAAAAGCATGAAAAGATCTTTCCACTCAATTTCAGTCACGCTACCACTTGGGCCATGCTTGGTAAAGATGTTTCAGCTATGGATTTATGATACATAAATCAGTCAGAAACCCATGTCAAAGAATATTTTTTAAACATACTAAACAGCATCCACTTCATTTGAACTTTTATGGATAGTTGTCTCATAGGTAATAAAAGGGCCTTTTGAACTCACCAATAGTTGCAGAATCTATGTTTTACAGCAGTTCCAAAATAATACTGTTAAATAAAATTCCTTTTGCCTTTTCAGAACAATAGTTATTCAAAATTCTTAAAGTATATAAAATTATTTATGTTATAATCATAATTTTCATTACGAAATAATAGTGTGGCAGAATCGACTACGACAGAAATGGTATGTGTGGCGACATGTTTTCTTGCCAAACATCATGTACATCTTGAAAGCAAAATTGTTTATCTTAATACCAATAAAATGCTCCGCAGGGCGCAGCTTGATACGACCGCAGAGGTCGAACCCTGAACAGTTGGGGGAAGTATGGACACAACATTCAAGCTTGATACAGCTTTGGATTTAGATTGTGATTAAATATTTGACACAGCATAGGTTTCTAACACAGATTGAATGTGGTCTAAGAACTTAAAAATTTTAAATTGGACATTCACCTATTATGGTCCAATATCCAAAATCTAAATTCATTGTTAGATTCAGCATATCAAAGAACCCCAAGAATTCAATTTTTGATGAAATCAAACAAAGTTTAATTTTGGACCCTTTTGACCTCAATGTGGACAAAGTTGATAATGGGGCCCAAAAATCAAAAATCTAAATACATGGTTAGATTCAGCATATCAAAGAACCCCATATATTCAATTTTTGTTGAAATCAAACAAAGTTTAATTTTGGACCCCGATTTGGACCAACTTGAAAACTGGGCCCATAATCAAAAATCTAAATACATGTTTAGATTCAGCATATCAAAGAACCCTAAGAATTCAATTTTTGTTAAAATCAAACTAAGTTTAATTTTGGACCCTTTGGACCTTAATGTAGACCAATTTGAAAACGGAACCAAAAATTAAGAATCTAAATACACGGTTAGATTCGGCATATCAAAGAACCCCAATAATTTAATTTTTGATGAAATCAAACAAAGTTTAATTTTGGACCCTTTTGACCTCAATGTGGACAAAGTTGATAACGGGGCCCAAAAATCAAAAATCTAAATACATGGTTAGATTCAGCATATCAAAGAACCCCATATATTCAATTTTTGTTGAAATCAAACAAAGTTTAATTTTGGACCCCGATTTGGACCAACTTGAAAACTGGGCCCATAATAAAAAATCTAAATACATGGTTAGATTCAGCATATCAAAGAACCCCAATAATTCAATTTTTGATGAAATCAAACAAAGTTTAATTTTGGACCCTTTGGACCTCAATGTGGACCAATTTAAAAACGGGGCCCAAAATCCAAAAACTAAATACACGGTTAGATTCAGCATATTAAAGAACCCCATGAAATCAAGAATAAAACCCCATTGAAATTGGTCAAGAAATAAGCAATTTATAGGAAGTATCTTCTTTTGCACAATCCTGTGCTATTAAATATTTCTTGCTATTGCGCAATACTGTACAATTGACAATTTCTTGCTATTGCGCAATATTGTGCTATTGGATATTTCTTGCTATTGCGCAATACTGTGCAATTGAAGATTTCTTGCTATTGCGCAATACTGTGCAATTGAAGATTTCTTGCTATTGTGTAATACTGTGCAATTGAAAATTTCTTGCTATTGCACAATACTTATTATATAATAATTTACACATCCTGTTTGGTGTGTATCTCCTACCATATCATTATTATTTGATTTTAAATATAAATCAGAAATAACCAACTTAAAATGGAAAATTTTAAAAGAAACAAAAAAGGAAAAAAAGAAAAAAAAGGGAAAAAAAATAAATCCCCCCCAAAAATTTTTTGAACCCCCATTATGATTCATCACCCCCAAACTCAATCCCAGCCTTCCCTTTGTGGTATGGTACCTTGCAGTACAATTTCAGAGAGATCCATACACTTGAACACAAGTTATTGTCTGGAAACTAGAAAAAAATGTGTTTTTTGGCCCCTTTTTGGCCCCAAATTCCTAAACGTTTAGGGCAATTACCCCCAAACTCAAACCCAGCTTTCCCTTTGTGATATGGAACCTTGTAGTACAATTTCAGAAAGATCCATACACTTACACACAAGTTATTGTCATGAAACTAGAAAAATGCTTGTTTTTTGCCCCTTTTTTGGCCCCTAATTCCTAAAATTTGGAGGCAATTACCCCCAAAATCAATCCCAGCATTCCTTTAGTGATATGGAACCTTGTGGTACAATGTCAGAGAGATCCATACACTAACACACAAGTTATGTCTGGAAGTTACAAAAATGCTTATTTTTGGCCCCTAATTCCTTTACTGTTATTACCATAACCCCCAAAATCAATCCCAACCTTCCTTTTGTGGTATTGAACCTTGTGGTCAAATTTCATAAAGATCCATTCACTTAAACTAAAGTTAGAGTGCGAAAACCAATGTGTCTTCGGACGACGCCGGACGCCGGACGACGACGACGCCAACGTCATACCAATATACGACCACAAAAATTTTTTTGCGGTCGTATAAAAATTATGATGAAATGTAAAATAACTTAGTCATATGAAACGAGTTTCTTGAATTTTCAATTATATCGAAATTAATGAACCAATGCATGCATTTATACACTAAACTAAGTCTTGTATGCACGTTTTTCATATTTATTATGAATCTATAATGTATTATCAACAAATAATATTTCATTCAGCGATTGTTGATCGCAAACTAATTAACTTTCAAGTTTGTTGCCGAAGTTTACCGGATCGTGACATTGATAAACAATAAACACAGAGCATGTGGAAAACATGACAAATAAGTGAATTGGTAGAGCCATGACAATTGGTTTTTTTTATTTTCCATGCGTTCCCATTTGTTAATTAAACTTTTCCTTAACAGTTGTTAAATGATTTGTTGTATTAAATTTGTACTTTAAGAATCTTTTATTACTATTTACAATGTACCTTCCAGAGCACGCTTGTTTACATTCTTTCATCACGGTTTTCCCCTCGCACTTGAGCTGTGGCCAAAGTTATAACGAGAGGTCTAGTAGCCATTTAAGTATATAAAACATAATCAACTTTTTCTTAAATTTGAAGTTTCATATGACTTTAATAAGCATGTAAATCCACTTGTCAAAAAATAAAAAACAATAACCATCTGGAGCTCAATCTACATGATATATATACACCAATCTAGAGTTACAGCTGTTGACTCAAAGCCAAACAGCGTCATCGAAAAATCATTTCTTATTGTGACATAATTATACTAATAACATAACGTCATGACATAAGGAGTACCACGATTTCCCGAGGATTACAAGAACAAATTAATATCCCAAGGACAAATTGTTTTGTCCTGAAATCATGATTTTACATGGTGTTATACTGCTTAAACTTGTATAATTATAAGGTTTAAGACGTTTCAGTCGTAATTACTCAATAAAAGTACAAGTTATCTTCAAGAAATCGATTGTTATGTCTTGTATGCAAATTCCGTGTTGAAAACAATATGGTGGATGTAATTATTCATAAGGTAGATGTTTTGATTTTAAAGTTATGATAACTATATATTTATTTCCAATAATGTATAAATTTTTCATTATTTCAGGTGTTTTAAAGAATTTATTCTTGCAGTACTTTGAATTCTTTTAATAATTAAAGTTGTCTACCTTTTCAATAATTACGTCCGCCATATTGTTTTCAACAAGGAATTTCATGTAACTTACAAGACATGCTTATCGATTTCCTGAAGTTAAATTTGCACTTTTATTGAGTAAACACGACTAATATCTTAAAATTATATACCTTAATAATATTTTAAGTAGGATAACACCATATTTTTCGGGACAAATCAATTTGTCCTTGGGATATTAATTAGTTGAATAGTTCTTGTAATCCTCAGGAAATTGTGGTAACGTGACAAAAGCATAATTTGTGATATAGAAAATTTATGGGAAAGTGCACGAAATTGAAAGTTCTTTAAGTACCACCTGCCTAAAATCAAACATTGTGAAAAAAATATAGCTGTGTCGAAAGCACAGGCAGCTGTTTCCATTGATGGGAAAGTCGACTATCCATATGATATGCGCCTTAATAGTTCTACTTATATTGATTGATTGTTGGTTGCTTAACGTCCAGTGGCAAATACTTCATGCATATTCTTGACGATGTTCTACTTATCCAACGTGGGTGAGAAAGGAAGGCCAACAAAGAACAACCTCTGAATAGGATGTCATCTCATAATAAAAGCCTTTTTTATTCAGAGAAAATGGAATGTATACATATTTGTTTGGCCAAATCGAGTAAGAGCGACATATCATGTCCCGTTTGGCGAACAAGCGCCACTACTTTGTCAACAAGGACAAGCGGAAGTTGTACAGAAAAGCGGAAAAGGACGTCTGAAATATGACTTCCGCTGCCAAATTATGGATTGTAAACGAACCTCTGTGACTTCTTGGACAACTTGTCGGTGTATTTGACTTTAAATCATGTAGAAATGGTCTTATTTTAACAAATAATGTCCAAAATCTACAATTTTCTGTGTAGCCGGAAGTTGATTTTCTTCGAGCATGACGGAAACACGTGATTCATCCTAATTACTACGCGATTTTAAAAGTCTTTTTTATGAATGACTTGAAATTATATTGCAAATTTCATAAACAAAATACGACTAGTATTTATGTTAAGGATAATCGTTCACAAAAAATAGCAATTTTTGCGCGAATGTAAAAATAAAACTATTTTTCTAGCGATTGTACGTTGTAAACCGTCAAATCACGTCTATCACGCGATTTGAAATCTTTACCGCTTCCTGCTTCTAATATGACCACGCCCACGCCACCAAAAGAGGATTTAGTTTGAAACTGACGAAAACGATGCGTACTGCAAGTGCAAAGAAAATCTGGCTCCCTTTCTCATCTTATTATGAAAATATACAAAATGTCGAGATTTAACATATTTTTTTTTATATGCATTGCAAACATGAACAAAAAAGATGCAGCCTGAGCCTGTGAACCTTTATTATTGATATTTACATTCATAAAGACATAATGGTATTGCAGTATATTGAGTGTAAAGCACATTAAACGAAAGAATACAGAATGCAATGAATGCAAGCAGCTCAAGAACTTTAGCAGCAATCTGTGAATCATGCACAACTAAAATCCAAGGTGTTGCAGAAATGCTACTTTTGTCATGCTGTGTGCGACCTGTGCTTACAGAAACCATAAGATTTCTACCATCAGAAAAGCTTCATGACTCTATTACTTCAACACTTAGATCAATTACGCAACTATCACAAACTTTGGTCTCCAACGTTCACATGATTTCTGCAAAATGGATTGAAATATGTGACTCAGTTGAAGAACTGTCTTCTGTACTAATTAAATTTATGGAAATAATTTGCCATGCCTGTTATCTTATAACTGTAAACTTTGCAAAGTGTACTTTAGCAGAAACAGGATTAATAGATAAATATTCCGTTTGTTACTCAGGGCTTGAAATCAAACTAAGTTGTTTCAGATTGAAACGAACACGCATTGACGAACTTTCTCCACAAATTATCATAGATCTGTGTTCTAATATATCCAAGCATATTGCTGTGATAACTGACATCTGTCGAACTGCAGGGCAAAATGTTAAAGATGAGGGTCTACAAGATCAGTTTAAACTTAGTGTCAAAAGTGTAACTTGTGCTGCTGGATGTCTCATAGCAAGCATCAAATCATACAAATCAAATCCCAACATTACCCAGCATTCCAGAGTGATGGTTTTCTGTGAACCTGTTATAGCATCGTCTCAAGCACTTGTTTCATTTGCTACAGAGAAAGACTTTAATGGATGCGAAGGATCATTAACAGATCAATCTAGAGATGTTCAAAAAAGAATTTTAGGTAATTAAAAAGTATGCTTATGGTATAACAGAGTGAGTATTAGTATAACAGAGTGATGAATAGTATATCAGAGTGATTATTTAAATTTGGCCAATCCATTGCCACAGATATTCTCCAAAACTTAAGTCTACTGAAAAAAAAAAGAAAAACATGATCAGAAATAAAAAAAACCCATCTGAAAAAGACTTGCAAAACTCATTAATAAATGTATATAAACTGATAGATACATTGTACATGTATTTGCTAAAATATAAAATGTGGAGAAAATATTGTCTGAGGAGAACTTTTATGAGTGTGATATCTGGCTTTATATCAATGTATATAGTGACATGTAAAACTGTCAACAATCTGACAAATAATTAAATTTAATTGTATAAGGTTCCTTTGTAAATTCAATTATTTAACGAATAAATTAATTAAATTTTAGGTTCCTGTATGACTGAGATATATCTGTCTCCATACAGCACTGTAAAACTGGTAATTTTCTGACCATGCTGACCAATAAATTAATTTAATTTTAGGTTCCTGTATGAGTGAGATATATCTGTCTCCATACAGCACTGTAAAACTGGTAATTTTCTGACCATGCTGACCAATGAATTAATTTAATTTTAGGTTCCTGTATGAGTGTGGTATCTGCCTCTATACAGCTTTGTAAAACTGTGCGGGATCTAACATATGACATGATTACCAGTCATCATAGAGAAAGACTCAAGTCGTGTACGGAAGCCATATCTCATGGAGCGGTCAAACTTGTGAAAATTATAGATGATTATGACATCAACAAACTTTTCAGTGATTATAGGGCTAAACAAGATGAGAAGTCACCTGACCTATCTACTTTGAATGATAGGTTTTGTAGTAAGCAATCATTGCCTTTCTTGCCTGACATGTCTCTGTCATCTTTGCATACCTTGCCCATGTTGCCAAGTCCAACTTTAGTCAGTAGATCTATTGACAGTTCGAGTACGTCTTCAGTGGAAACTAATTCTTTTTTACTATACTCAGAAGATGAACAAAGTCATTCTCTCAATGAGCGTAATCATGGTGATCAAAGCAACTCTCAGGATCACCATAGTGATAACTCTACCTCATTTTCAAGCTCAGAAAATTCATTAGCATCAAGATAAATACATGTACCATGGAAACCATATTGAGATTTTTTTAGCTTGTTGAGTCATAATAAATTATTATTTCATTACTGGTATTTTTTACCTTGCCTGCAACAAAAGTCACAGAAGATGAGACAGATATTAGTTTTTGTACGGTGGTACCACCGTGGTGGTTCCTCAGTAACTACATGTTATTTTTCTGAGACAACACTATTTGGTATGTTGATTGGTTGGTGGTAGTATATGTCTGTTTGTTTGGTGGTACCCCCTTGGTGGTTCCTCAGTAACTACATGGTATTTATCTGAGGTCAACTCTATTTGGTATGTTGATTGGTTGGTGGGAGTATATGTCTGTTTGTACGGTGGTACCACCGTGGTGGTTCCTCAGTAACTACATGGTATTTATCTGAGACAACACTATTTGGTATGTTGATTGGTTGGTGGTAGTATATGTCTGTTTGTACGGTGGTACCCCCATGGTGGTTCCTCAGTAACTCCATGGTATTTATCTGAGGTCAACACTATTTGGTATGTTGATTGGTTGGTGGGAGTATATGTCTGTTTGTACGGTGGTACCACCGTGGTGGTTCCTCAGTAACTACATGGTATTTATCTGAGGTCAACACTATTTGGTATGTTGATTGGTTGGTGGGAGTATATGTCTGTTTGTACGGTGATACCCCTGTGGTGGTTCCTCAGTAACTACATGGTATTTATCTGAGGTCAACACTATTTGGTATGTTGATTGGTTGGTGGGAGTATATGTCTGTTTGAACGGTGGTACCCCCATGGTGGTTCCTCAGTAACTACATGGTATTTATCTGAGACAACACTATTTGGTATGTTGATTGGTTGGTGGGAGTATATGTCTGTTTGTACGGTGGTACCCCCATGTTGGTTCCTCAGTAACTACATGGTATTTATTTGAGACAACACTATTTGGTATGTTGATTGGTTGGTGGGAGTATATGTCTGTTTGTACGGTGGTACCACCGTGGTGGTTCCTCAGTAACTACATGGTATTTATCTGAGACAACACTATTTGGTATGTTGATTGGTTGATGGGAGTATATGTCTGTTTGTACGGTGGTACCACCGTGGTGGTTCCACAGTAACTACATGGTATTTATCTGAGACAACACTATTTGGTATGTTGATGGGAGTATATGTCTGTTTGTACGGTGGTACCCCCGTGGTGGTTCCTCAGTAACTCCATGGTATTTATCTGAGACAACACTATTTGGTATGTTGATTGGTTGATGGGAGTATATGTCTGTTTGTACGGTGGTACCCCCATGGTGGTTGCTCAGTAACTCCATGGTATTTATCTGAGACAACACTATTTGGTATGTTGATTGGTTGATGGGAGTATATGTCTGTTTGTACGGTGATACCCCTGTGGTGGTTCCTCAGTAACTACATGGTATTTATCTGAGGTCAACACTATTTGGTATGTTGATTGGTTGATGGGAGTATATGTCTGTTTGTACGGTGGTACCACAGTGGTGGTTCCTCAGTAACTACATGGTATTTATCTGAGACAACACTATTTGGTATGTTAATTGGTTGATGGGAGTATATGTCTGTTTGTACGGTGGTACCACCATGGTGGTTCCTCAGTAACTACATGTTATTTATCTGAGGTCCACACTATTTGGTATGTTGATTGGTTGATGGGAGTATATGTCTGTTTGTTTGGTGGTACCACCATGGTGGTTCCTCAGTAACTCCATGGTATTTATCTGAGGTCAACACTATTTGGTATGTTGATTGGTTGATGGGAGTATATGGTATATGTCTGTTTGTACGGTGGTACCCCCATGGTGGTTCCTCAGTAACTCCATGTTATTTATCTGAGGTCAACACTATTTGGTATGTTGATTGGTTGGTGGTAGTATATGTTTGTTTGTACGGTGATACCCCTGTGGTGGTTCCTCAGTAACTACATGGTATTTATCTGAGACAACACTATTTGGTATGTTGATTAGTTGATGGGAGTATATGTCTGTTTGTTTGGTGGTACCCCCGTGGTGGTTCCTCAGTAACAACATGGTATTTATCTGAGGTCCACACTATTTGGTATGTTGATTGGTTGGTGGGAGTATATAAAAAAGAAGATGTCGTATGATTGCCAATGAGACAACTCTCCACAAGAGACCAAATGACACAGAAATTAACAACTAAAATAGGTCACCGTACGGCCTTCAACAATGAGCAATGCCCATACCGCACAGCCAGCTATAAAAGGCCCCGAAATGACAAAGTAAAACAATTCAAACGAGAAAACTTACGGCCTAATTTATGTACAAAAAATGAACGAAAAACAAATATGTAACACATAAACAAACGACAACCACTGAATTACAGGCTCCTCACTTGGGACAGGCACATACATACAGAATGTGGCGGGGTTGAACATGTTAGCGGGATCCCAACCCTCCCCCTAACCTGGGAGAGTGGTATAACTGTACAACATAAGAACGAACTATAAAAATCAGTTGAAAGAGGCTTAACTCATCAGATGGATAAAAATACAAATACTACAAATACAAGTGGACATGGCCGGGTTACTTGTACATCCAAACAACAAAAAGACTCTAAGCAGAGATCTGAGAGTACTCACAGTTACTGACAGCTAGTTCATAGCCACTAACAACTAATAAAAAGATACACTTGTATGTGCTGCTTGTGACATAATGTAGGAGTAAGAGCAAAAAGTAGCCAACTCAGTATCAGAATAATATGTATTGAGTAGAATGGAGCAGGCCTATGGTTTGATGGCTTCTACCGTTACCTTGCGAACTAGCACATTTTAAAAAGCTATTTCACGATACACATTATGTTCTAATGTGGCATCAAGAGACAAATCAGTCAACGAAAGTAAAACAAAGAAGGATATCATCATACCACATTAACCACTTAGTTTACATATATCTTAATATTTGAATAAAAGGAGATATGGGTATGCACCAAGACAACAGCAACACAACACCACAATAAACAGAAAACGACAACTAGAGTTAAGCTCTTCAGAAAAAGAGAAATGTTTCTACAGTATTTCAAGTTCTTAATACCCTCAAAGCTAGAAAAAAATGTAGGGAAGATATAGTTTATGGTTGTCCGAATAGGGAGCATGTATATCTTTCCATACCATGTGTATGTTTGACCAGATATACGGTGTATGTGTGTGTGTTTGACCAGATTAGAAGAGATGTAGATCTTGCTAAACGGTGTATGTGTGTGTGTTTGACCAGATTAGAAGAGATGTAGATCTTGCTAAACGGTGTATGCGTATGTGTTTGACAAGATGAGAGATGAAAATCTTGCCATACAGTGTGTTTCACCAGATAAGGAGGGATGTAAATCTTGCTATACGGTGTATGTGTGTGTTTGACCAGATGAGGAGGGATGTAGATTTTGCCATACGGTGTGTGTTTGACCAGATAGAGTAGGGATGTAGATCTTGCCATACGGTGTGTGTTTGACCAGATTAGGAGAGATGTAGATCTTATCATACGGTGTGTGTTTGACAATGTGAATAGGGATGTAATTCTTGCCATACGGTGTGTGTTTTTTGTGTGTGTTTAACCAGATTCGGGGATATGTAGATCTTGTCATACGGTGTGTGTGTGCTTGTTTAACCAGATTAAGAGGTATGATGATCTTGCCATACGGTGTGTGTTTGGCCATATTAGGAGGGATGTAGATCATGCCATACGGTGTGTCTTCGACCAGATTAGGAGGGATGTAGATCATGCCATACGGCGTGTGTTTGACCAGATTAGGAAGGATGTAGATCTTGCCATACGGTTGGGTGTTTGACCAGATTAGGAGGGATGTAGATCTTGCCATACGATGCGTGTTTGACCAGATTATGAGAGATGTAGATCTTGCGGTACAGTGTGTGTTTGACCAGATAAGGAGGGATGTAGGTCTTGTCATTCGGTGTGTGTTTGACCAGATAGAGTAGGGATGTAGATCTTGCCATACGGTGTTTGTTTGACCAGATTAGGAGAGATGTAGATCTTGCCATACGGTGTGTGTTTGACCAGATTAGGAGAGATGGAGATCTTGCCATACGGTGTGTTTTTGACCAGATTAAGAGAGATGTAGATCGTTCCATACGGTGTGCGTTTGACCAGATTTGGAGAGATGTAGATCTTGCCATACGGTGTGCGTTTGACCAGATTAGGAGAGATGTAGATCTTGCCATACGGTGTATGTTTGACCAGATTAGGAGGGATGTAGATCTTGCCATACGGTGTGTGTGTGACCAGATTAGGAGGGATGTAGATCTTGCCATATGGAGTATGTTCAACCAGATTCGGGGATATGTAGATCTTGTAATACGGTGTGTGTGTGTGTTTGCTTGACCAGATTAGGAGGTATGTAGATCTTGCCATACGATGTGTGTTTGACCAGATTAGGAGGGATGTTGATCTTGCCATATGGCGTATGTTTGACCATATTA